GCTTTCCTGCCTGGACCTGTGGCTCTGCCTGATTGCAGACGAGGCCTCCGGGAGGAAGAGGTGGTCCCCGGTGTCCGTTGTCCTTGCTCATTAATAGTACTCAGAGGCAATTAGCAGTTGTTATGCGCTTCCGTCTGCCAAGTATCGCATTAGGTTCGTGTCCCCCTCCTCCCTCACTTAATCTCGAGCCAAGCCACCAGGTGAGCATGGATATTATCCTCTCAACTTCTGGGTCAAGAGATGACACTCAGCAGTCTAGTAACAAGCCTGGGGTCTTGCAAATGGTGGCAGTTGGATTCGTGCCATGTCTGTCTGACCCCAGAGTCACCGCGCTTTCCAGGGTGTCTGAAAGTGGCAGAGGGAGGGGGATGGAGGACAAGCCCCAGAACGGATGGACTGTGTGGTGGGAGATAAGCAGCCACGTAAATGGGAGAGCCACTCAGAGACGGAGCAGATGGAGAAGGGATTGGGTCTCATGCAGTTGACCTAGCCATGCTAGGATGAAGTTTCAGAGGGCCCTGAAGAAAGCCTTGCATCCCGGTGAAGGGGATTGGTGGTGGCAGAAGGGGACCTGTCATTGGGATAGGGTGCTTCTCTGGTGGGATGGGGTGATACTTTTCTGGTACAAGAAGAATCTGGCAGTGGAGGGGAGGATCCTCTGCAGTAGAAAAGGGAAACACTGATCTCTCCCAGGAAATCCTTTGGGGTCTCAGCCCAGGGGGAGATGGGCAGAGTGAGTGGTGAGCACAGTTCGAGAATGCTTGGCTGCCAGTGTGAAGGCCCACCAAGCAGAGGAACTATGTCAGGGCTGGCTGGGAAGCAGCTGGCTTTGGGGGCACTCCAATGCCACCTTTTCCTCCCTGGGGCACAGCAGAGGAGCTGATAATCTGTGGGTCATTAAAGCTGTGATTGTGGCTGTAGATAATGTTGTTAAGGTGTGCTTGTGGGTTGTGACTGGTCTGCTGCTGGCTCTGGGAAAGGCAATGCAGACTCACTTCAGCCTCCCGTCAAGAAAAGGAAGGAGCCTGCTGGAAATGTTCGTGAAAGGAGCAGAGGAGAAAATGGAATGTTCAGTGGCTCACGGGGTAGGGAGGGGTGGCTGCTTCTGTGGGTGCCTGTGAGGATGAGGCCTTGGGACTCACACAGGCCTTTTATCCCTTTCTCTTTAGTAGTCGTAACTATGGCCACACTGTTGTCTGGCCATTCTGATTGGGTTTCCTATCTCTGTCAGGCTCTCAAATCTTCTGTGCTCACAGACCCCTGAAAGCTCCCTGCCTGTTGTGGGGACCCTCTAACCTGTTTGCTGGCTCGTGTTACCCAGCTCCTGCACTGGGTGTAATTGCTCAGGACCCTGGTTTGCACCTCCCGCCCCCCCAATGCTCCCAGATGTTGCCAGCAGCCTTTCCCCACACAGCCTGGCCTGCTTGTCTGTCTCACTCGGGGGCTGCTCTTATCATTTTGTCCTTCTTCCTGGGCTGGGCTCTTCCTTGTCCCTTCTCTGGCTCCAGATCTTGGAAACTTCAGTTGCTTCATGGCTCATCCTCTAGTTTGGAGGACATGTGTTGTTCATGGGTGCTTTTTCACATGTCTGTTGGCTACAACCCCAGAAATCCTAGCCCACTGCCATCTTCTTCAGTCCAAGAAAGAACCTGCTTTCTACTGCTGGTCCATCTCCCGTGTTGGGCTGCGTTCCATCCTTGGAGGCAGAGCATCCCGTTTAGACTTCTCTTCCCACTTGCTTGAAGTCGTTGGAGGTGACTGCATGGACCTTTTTCCCTTACCTGGTCAGCCACCCAGCTGGTCACCCTATCCTGCCAATCCTAAGGTTCCAGGTAGATGAGTGTATCGTCTCTCCTGACACTCCTCATGACCACTGTCAAGTTCTAGGCCTACAGGGAACCAACTGCCCTTGTCAGTCCCATTCTGGACACCCGTTGTGCTGGGGTCTCCCTGGATTTCATGGCCCTTTCTAGGCCTCTTATCTCTTAAAGCCACCAAGGACTCACTTTGTGACATGCTCTCTGAGGGCTGGTATCTGGTATCTGTAGGCTGCCATGTTTATTAAGCTTTCCAATGAGCAGTTAGGGCGTCTTGCTCTCCAAAGCTCTTAACCTTAAGTAAGGGTGAGGACCCGCTGTAAGACTGAAAAGATAGACCCTTCACAGAGACTTCTGTGTAGCCTTGTGTAAGGGAGGCCTGGTGCCAGCCCTAGCTTCTCCTTGTGTGATGGATTTTGGGCAAAGTCAATTTGTTCAGGGTATTTCCAGAGAAGCTTAATGGTACTGTGTCAGTAAACATTGGGCCATAGGCTTTAGTGGGTGCTGGAAAGTGCTGTGTTCATTGTCAGGTGGTCCTTGGTTGCATGACCTAAGGGACTGTCTGGATTTATACAAAGGAAGCCAGAGTTTGTGGGAGATTCAGATTCGTATGGTTTCAATGATGGGCACCGTGTCCCCGAGGCGAGTAGCACTTCGGCTGCCTGGCAGGTGCCTGCCAGCCCAGGGTGGTTGATCTGGGGGTGAGGGCCCCTGACCAGGGCAGTTTCCTGACTATTCTGAGGGTACCAAGTCACTGTTTCTACAACTGTCTAGTTGTTTCCTCACTTGTTGTGTGCACCGAGCCGTGGACTTGTAGTGTTCAGGGCATAAGCCCCTGTGGCGCAGTGGGGTGACGCGCAGTGGTCAGCCGTGAAGGACTGTTCCTGTGAGCTTTGAAGATGGTCTGTACAAATCACTGGGTCCTCAGGCTGTCAAGGAACCTGACTCCTGGGAAGCTTTCCTCTAGGGAGAAGGAACCCCGATTCTGGTGGCAGATTCCATTGGAAATCGCTAGGGTTGAGCTGGCCATGGGTGTTAGACGCTATGTTAGTGAGTGCTCTTTATGGTGTTTTATGATTTGTAAAGCATGTTCAAGAAGTTACCCCTTCTGTCAGAGCCGTGCCACCAGGGAGGCATTCATTATTACCCCCATGGCACACACGAGTCACAGAGCCTCTGAAAGGGTGAGTGCCGTTGCTGGGTACCTTAGCTTTGAGGGGCAAAGCATAGACACAGCTCAAGACATTGGGCTATGAAGAGGAGATGACATGACCGGCGTGGGACGCATCGGAAATTTAGATGACTTGTTTGTATGTTCCTGGAAGATATTCAAATTCCTCTCCGTGTGGAAGAGGATAGCATGTGGTCTCCAGTTGCCTCTGCATCTGTGGTTTTGCTCCATGACCTCCGTCCTTGTTGCTGGTTGCTTTGAAGCTTGTTGTTGTAGTCAGTGTTCTTTTGCTGTGAAGAGAAACCATGACTACAGCAACTTGTATAAAGGAAAACATTTAATTGGGGCTGACTTACAGTTCATAGGTTTAGTCCATTGTCATGGCAGGCAGACATGGTGCTGCAGAGATAGCTGAACGTTCTACACCCGATCAGCAAACAACAGGAAGAGAATGAGACACTGCGTCTGACATGAACTTCTGACACCTCAAAGTTAGCCCCCAGTGACAGACTTCCTCCAGCAAGGCCACCCCTACTCCAACAAGAGCATATCTCCTATTCCCTGTCAAATAGTGTCATTCCCTAATGACCAAGCATTTAAACAGATAAGTCTATGGGGGCTATCCCTATGCAAACCACCACACCTGCTGACAGGGGCCTGGGCACTCTCCTCACTATCAGCATGGAAACTCCTCTCGCCTCTCTCTGGTGCTGGGACCTTAGTTCCCTAGGTTTTATGGCACTCATTCTTCATTCCTTTCTTTTTTTTTTTTCTTTTTTCTTTTTTTGTATTGGAAGAGCATGAGTTCCCACGACTTTCTGAGAAAGAGTGTGTTGGTGGTACACTTCGCAGATCTGAGATATCTTCAGCTGGTGTGAATAACTCTTTCTGATTGGCAGGTCGTGTGGCTGGGTGCACAGTGATGCACTTCCGAGAACTCTGGAGGCAGTGCTCTCCCATCTATGCAGGGAGCAGTCACTTGCCTCTGGTCTGTCATGAGTGGAGCTGCTGACTATGTAGCTGGATTCCTTGTCGAACTTTCTTTGGACCGCCAGCCCCCAAATAATGACATGGAGATTTATTATTAGTTATGACAGCTTGGCCATTAGCTTAGGCTTGTTTCTAACTGGCTCTTATAGCTTAAATTAGCCTGTTTCTATTAATCTATGTTCTGCCATGTGGCTCTTCACCTCTCCTCCATTCTGTATGTCCAACTCCCTCCATATGTCTCTGGTATCTCCCTCTCCTCTTCCCAGAGTTCCTGTCTCTGCCTGGAAGTCCCGCCTATTCTCTCCTGACTAGCGATTGGGCGTTCAGCTTTTTATTAAACCAGTCACAGCAATCCATCTTCACACAGTGTACAAATATCCCACAACAAGCAGGCTTTTGCCTCTGGTCTATCATGGGTGGGGCTGATGTTTGTAGGCTCTCCTTTTGTCAGTGGTATTCAGGAAGTATTCAGTTCCTGTAAACAGGCCTGGGCATCTGTTTGGCAGTTCCTCCTTTCTCCTATTTCCCCACCACCCGACTCTACTTTCAGTCCTCTCTTCATCTTGCCCACAGAGGCACCTGGCTCCTCAGGTTCCCAGGAGTTTGGGGATACTTGGCTTATTCTATTGGCCAGGTCTCTGTGATTGTTTGGCCGAGTGAGAAAGCCTTCACCTCGTGCCCATTCTTTCCATCCTGGATGGGAGAGAGCATGCTTCCCAGGGTTTTCTAGGAGGGATGCAGTGTTCCCTTGCATGCAAACGTTGGTCTCTCAAAGAGTTCTTGCTGATGGGCGACACTATATTGTGTATGTATATATTCCAGATACCCTCATCAGCATACATGGAAGGCAGGGTGAGGTAGGGGCCAAGTAGGATCTCTGGAGATAGAGGCAGGTGTGGTGCTCTGGGAGGGGCTGCTTGGCTCCATCTTCCAGCAAGAACATATGTTTGGGATGGATCATCTGCGGGCAGCGTGAAATGGCCAGAAGCTGGACTCATGGGTCTTGGTGGCTTGGTTTCTAGGTTGTCCTGCCAGCCTGGCTGTCCTCCACAAAGGTCTCTTCGCTCATTGAGAGAATCTCCGACCCTAAGGACTTGAAGAAACTTCTCAGGACCCGCAATAATGTTCTGGTGCTTTACTCAAAATCTGGTGAGTGACCCTTCCAGACCTTGGGGATCACCTATCCGGGGAGAAGGGATGGGGGGGGAGAGGACCAGAGGGACATTAATATTCTAACTTCCTTTGGAGGCTACCTAGGGCACTGGGTTACTTTTGCAATCTGGGGGTCATTTCAATTCCTTTTTCTGAGCTTCCTGGGAGAGGAAGGCTCTGGGACTCCTACCTAGCCCAGCAGAGGACCGTATGAGTCCTGGATGAACACCTTGACTCCCCGCCAGCCACAGGTCCAGCCCTGCTAGGGCAGGCTTCATGGGAGCTGTTGATTAACTACCAGGCTGGCCTGTTGCCAGCTGAACTGGTCCCAGGCCTGTGGACATTTCCCTGCGCCAGTAGTCCTGGTCTTGCCTGACTCCCGGTGTTCGGCTGTGGGGTGAGATACAAAACTGACTTTGGAGTGGATGCCTAAGTTCAGGCCCAGAAATCTCTGTGGGCGGGAGCAGCCACCTGCCCCTCCTCTGACCTTGGGCTGGTAAGGGTACAATGGACAGTTTGCTTGGCTCTTGGCAGTGACTTTGGGGAAGGGCAAGAGACTGGCTGTCGATGTGGTTCCAGCAGAGTTAAGTGTTTTTGCTGCTCCTAAGGATGCCAAGTTTTCTGTGTCCTGGAGGAACAGCAGCCAGTGGTTAGGCCAGTTCTGGGCACAGATCCCCTTGGCAGCTCATCTTCTACACTCATTGGCACTCTGGGCTGATGGATGATTTGGCCGTGTGTCCCTCTTGAAGGCTGTGCCCTCTGAGCATTCATGACATATGGCTGCTCTTGCCACTTGCTGCTTCTGAAGGTCTGGATGTACTTTCACCAAGTTTCCTGTTGGGAGCCCAATGTGTGAGCATGTTTTTCTGTGAGTAGGGAAACTGAGACCAAAGGAAACTTGTTTCTCGTGAAGGTTGGGCTTGGGGTAACCCCCTTGTAAACTCCTGGGTCTTCGGAAACTTGTTTCTCGTGAAGGTTGGGCTTGGGGTAACCCCCTTGTAAACTCCTGGGTCTTCTCAGGGACAGGTGTTGTTATTGGGACCATATATGAGCCTGTTCATTTGCTCCTTTGCCACAAGGGAGGCAGTGCAGATTGTCATATAGTATCCCATTTACTTTTATTTTTATTTTTGGTTTTTCAAGACAGGGTTTCTCTGTGTAACAGCTCTGGCTGTCCTGGAACTCGCTTTGTGGACCAGGCTGGCCTCGAACTCACAGAGATCCAACTGCTCTGCCTCCCAAGTGCTGGGGTCAAAGGTGTACGCCACCACTGCCCTGCTTGTATCCCGTTTATAAATGAGGTCATCGAGATAAGAGGACATGACACTTGAGTCCAGCCATTCCTGGTGGTGGAACTGGTCCCTTGTGTCATCGCTGTACCTCACTTCCTCAGATGGAGGATGGGATCAAGTGAGTTAGTTATCTCTGCAATGTTGGGGCTTTGGAGTCAGCCCAGGTCTGAGACAGAAGGCCTCTTAAGTGGGAAGTTGGGGTCAGTGAGATCTGGGGAGGCAGGATCCAGCCATTGCTTTGCCCCTTACCTGGCTCCGCCTTTGTTCGGTTCATCAGAATTATAGCCCCTATGCTGCCTCAGTGTGCTGGGGGCAGGGCCTGGGCAATGACTTCACCTCCTGCATCTTGCCTGTGCTTACTGCTCCAGATTCTGGCCTCCAGTGGGTTTTCTGAGCACTTAGAAACTGGATTTCATCCCCTCCTCCTCCCATCCTTCCAAGCAGCTCTCCCCTCCCGATGGTGGGGTACTTCCTATATTGTTCTTCCACTTCATCCATACCCTCTCTTCGCCTCAGTGGTGAGCGCAGAGGAACAATGGCTTCCCTGCTTCAGTGGTTTGCTGCCTCCTGCTGCCCTGGCTGGGGTTTCTTGGGAATGCCTCTTCTCAACCACTCCGAGCATGTTTCTTAAGCGATGCTTATTGTCCGCTTCTGTGAAAGGTTTCAGCATGCTTTGTGTTCACAAACAGCTCCCATTTCCACCCTGGAAGAGCAGCTCCTGAGAGGCACATAATTCAGATATCATTTCTGCTTGGCCTTGGGTTTATCATGGGGTTCCGGGCAGGAGAAGGCAGCAGATTGCTCTTTGTCGGGCTCTGCCTGATGTGCTCTTTGAGAAACTTACATTCATGGGATCATTAGGAGGAGGGAACTAAGAGTCTGCCAGGTGCAGGTGTCAAAACCAGCCGTAAGCACCGTGCGGCAGACCATTAGAGACCGACAAGAGTTGAAATCCAGAAGCTTGTCCACAGGACCCTGCTGTCCAACGGTATTACCTGGAAGCTCTGGCCGCATACTCAGGAATTGTCGCCCAGACCCCACCCTGCCCATGGTCCAGAGTCCTTGGACTCAAATGTTTTATCTTTCATCTTTTTCAGAGGCAGCAGCCGAAAGTCATCTCAAGCTACTGTCCACTGTGGCCCAGGCAGTGAAAGGACAGGGCACCATCTGCTGGGTGGACTGTGGGTATGTACTGGGGACCCAGGGCACAGGGCTGGAGGCTCTGGTGGCTGGGGTGCAAGGGAGAGCATGATGGAGAGATCCTTGAGGTGACACGGGGATCTCTTGTACCTTACAGAGGTAAGGTTTGGCTCCCCGCCGCTGTCTTCCCATTCCCTGCCCCCTTTTCTCTCATTTTCCTGGAGCTTTCTCTTATGTCCTGTGTGTTACTTATTTATCTTCTCAGGGCAGTAAGCAGAGGGCATCTTCCCTACTGGAAGAGAGGAGCCTTGATTCCAGGGACAGGTGATTTTTTTTCCAGGGCCACTCACTTGGCTGGCGATGGGTCTGCAGACATGAGCCATGAGCTTTGCCCCCAGTCCAGGCCCTTCTCACTCCTACAGCACAAACAGTGTCCTCAGCTGGCCACCGGACTAGACTGCCTGGGCCTGAGTTTGTGGGCCCTGCGCCTGAGTGAGTCCTAAGTGACAGATGGAAGTGGAGTGTTGGTCCACACTGATTTGTAAGCTGCAGAGGGGAGAGAGAACAACACAGGAGAGTCATGCATTGAAGTGTGTGCGTGGATGCGTGTGTCTAGCTTCATGCGTCTAGATTCATGCCGACACTGGCTGAGCAGAAACGGCTGCTCACTGGGTGGCTGCTAAGGTCTTAGCCACTGGTTAACTGTAGTTTACAGTTGGGTTGACAGTACTCCCATCTTTCAGGTACTTCTGTCACCTCCATTTTACCAACAGTGCTCTATGGAACTGGGCAAATGACAGAATCTATCAGAGGAGACAGGACACTTTGGAATTTCCATATCTGACGATGACAGCAGTTCTGCCAAGCTGCTGGAGCATCCTTAAGAGGGTCACGGGTGCCAGGAGTGAGCAGAAGGGCTTCGACGTAGCGGCTCTTCCCTCCAGCTTTACCCGTCAGCTATTACCGAGCACTTACTCTGTGCTTTGAGGGCTCCCAGATAAATAGTCGTGCCTTCCAGGAGCTCAGGGTGTGAGGAAGGAGCAGACATCACGCCAGGGCAGATGCTGCCAAGTGAGGTGTGCTCTAAACAGGCTCCAGATCTAAGAGACAGTCCGTGTACACGGCCTGGAGAGGTCAAGAAAACTTTGCAGAGGCAGTGAAGTTCCAGGAGGGGGACGAAGACCTGAGATGGCCCTGCACTGCTCGTGCCCTGGCTTTTCCTGCCTGAGCTCCCTGTGGCTTAGCTCCCAAGTACTGCCCGCGAGGATGAGCAAACTGCTTTCAGAGGGGCTACGGAACCTCCAGAGCAGGATACCTGAGTTAGTAGGGCCTGGGGTCAATGGGTAAAGGGAGATTAGATTAGAGATTAGGACTAACTTACAGTCTTAGTGTCTGGGGCTAGTGCCAGTGGGAGAATCCTGTGACGTTAATATGCTAGAATTAAACTCTAGGCGGAGGTAGGTTAGAGCTTTGAAGAGGCTCCTTGTTCAAGAGGCAGGACTGGTCCAATAGTGCCTTTCGGTTTATCAGATTTATCCTTGTAAGAGGAAGTACAGTCTCAAACCGTTAAAGAGCTTTAGTGGAATTTAGCCAAGTAGGTGGATTTGGGTCTGGGTTTAGGATCAGAGGCAAAATACTGCTGACTGATGGCTTCTGGTCCCTGTAAGCCACCCCGAGTGATAGATCTCAGGGACCACAAAGAGATCCCAAGAGATGAGCTGGCGTCTGCCTTCTCATCCTCTTCCTAGTCTTCAGAACGTATCCTGTGACTCCTAAAGGCACTTAACCATGAGGACTCCAAGGCATTCTAGAAATCAGCTTAGTCGCACATGCCACCTGTCTGTGTCCCTGAGCTTGGGACGAGATCCTCACATTATTGACAGGAGTGTGTGGAGTGGTTTTCTGGTACCGTCTGCGGAGGAAGGAGGAAGTGGCCTGGAACCAGTGTTGCTTTTTTCACCTCCTGCTAGGAAGCAGCAGATGGTCAGCTAGCCACCACACAGTAAGTTCTGCTAAGGTTCCATCTCAGCCTCCCCAGCTAGACTACTTCCTGCCATGCCATCAGTAGACGGCAGCCAGAATGGGGGTGCTGCGTTTTTTCTGGGGTAACCAGGAGGGTCAGCAAGGACCAGGCCACTGAGATTTTCCTCTTTAAAGGGAACGGGGAAAGAGAAGATGCTGCTACGGTGTTGGGTCATCTTTGTAGGTGTGTGGAGTGACAGACACAGTCTGGGACATAGGACTCCAGGCTGGAGGACCGGGCACTCCAGTTCCTAGCCCCGTGACTGAGGGGAGCCATTTAACCTAAGTCTGTTTCCTTATCTGCAAAATGTGAAAAGACTGCATGTTCTGCCTTTTCCCAGTTTCTGTAGTGAAGAAGAGATAAGTGAAAGTTCTAGAATCGAAACAGGGTTTAAATGGGAGGTGCTGTTCTGTTACCATCATTTCTCATCTAACTGGATGTGGGGGAAATGGACATTTGTTTGTTTGGTAAGGTTTCTTTTTTTTCCAAATGACCATCCTTGCTTTACTTGCTCTCAAGATGTGTGAAGCGAGCTTGACATGGCGGCACCCACCTGTAATCCCAGTACTCAGCAGGCCGAGGCAGGAGGAGTGTGTTGGAGGCCAGCCATGGCATGTAGTGGGTTTTGTACGGCTGCAGGGCAGGGGGCCTGGCTTTGAGTTTGTACTGTGGGACGTTTGGCTTTCTGGACCGCAGTCTGACATGTTTGACCCGAGCAGCAGGACCTTCCAGATTGCTCCCGTCCCTAAATGATCTGCTTCAGAGAATTCCCAAGGCTGACCTGCTGTGCTTAACTGTCTGGTGGACATGTGCCTTCCAGTGCTAGAGTCTGGTTTGTGGGGCTTCCTCGCAGCCTGGGGTCCCCTCTCCCCCCTGACGTGTTCCTTTCTCTTCCTTTGCAGTTTACTCCCTGAGAGGAGCCGAGTCTCTGCCACTGCAGTTCGTTGGTCTTTTTTCTCCTTTATTCTTCCAAAGATGTCTCCAAGTTTTCTTTGGTTTTCTGGCTCTTTCCCTGTCTTTTTCATATGCACACCTGTTGATCCTCATGTGTCCGTCTATTAACTTTCCCCCAAGTCCCTGGCTATCTCTTGAGCACATGGATTCTGTCTGTGGAAGTTCCAGTTCTCCTTTCTCCCACTTTCTCCCAGCTCCGACCTCTACAGTTACTTGGCAGACTGGGGGTGGCTATGCACTGGGCCAAGTGTGACGGTATTGGTTGCTCCCTGGTATGGCACTGGGATGGGCCCGTGTGGTACTGCCATCTAGGAGGCTGAACTAGGCCTGGTACACTAGTTCTGTGAGCAGAGCTCCCCTCAGCTGCTGGCTGCTTGCTTTCCCTGGAGTGCAAGGCCACTGCCTAGCCATATTCCCTTCCTTCCCTTTTCCCATCTGCTTGATTTCCCTGAAGCAGTAATGGCTCCCCAGATGCAAGATTAGGGGCCTGCCAGGACAGGTGTAATGTATTTTGAGGTCTTATGTTTTCTTCTAAGAATTAATTTGAATTTTGCATTTCCTCCTTCTTGCCTAAGCAAGGCAAATGTTACTTCCCATGGGAGAAAATAGACTCCCCTAAGAAGCATCTTGCTTGTTCTGTGGCTTTAGATATCTTCTGGCATATGGCATGCGTTTGAGGAATAAGTTCCAACTGAGAAGCAAAGCCTTAGACCAGTGGTTCTCAACCTTCCTAATGCTGTGGCCCTTTAATACAGCTCCTTATTCTGGGGTGACCCCAACTGTAAAATTATTTCCACTGCTACTTCATAAATATATTTTTCAACCGTTATGGATTATAATGTAAATATCTGATATGTGACCCCTGTGAAAGGGTCATTCAGCCCCCAGAGGGGTTGTGACCTGCAGGTTGAGAACTGCTGCCTTAGATAGACGCTGGTCTGGACAGATAGGTGGAGAAGGGGCCTTTACCACCAGAGAGGAGAGGCCACAGGCCTCTTTCCAGGTTCTTACCGCAGTATCCAACGCATACCTCATCGCCTACTTCGGAGGTAGGCACCAAGGAGACTAGCCAACTGGGCATCGTTCTGCTAGCATCTCTTCAGGGACTTAAGGTTTAACTTCTCCAGGATTGCTCTCAGCTGTCTCCTCATCATATCTTCCAGTCATACTCTGTCCTTGTTTGGCACCGAGCAGCCACTCTCATCCTGTCCTGTGTTTTACAGCTCAGGCTTCCCTGAAGGTCCTACCTGCTGGTGGTGGCGCCAGGTCTGGAACCCGTCTCCTAGGACAGGCTCAGGCCGCATGTCTAGAAAGACCCAGTAGCTCCTCCTCTTAGCCTCCGGCATCTTCTCCGTCTCTCCTTACTCTCACCCCACTCTCAGTCCCGGGTCTGACTGCTCAGAGTTTAAGCACTCTGTACCCCGCAGCAGCCACCCTAGACTGGCAACCTCGTCCCCACTTGGGGTGCAGGGTATGGGATGTGCACAGACCTCCGAGATCTTTCCCTCCTCGTTCTTTGTAGCGAAGGTGGAGGGGAAAATAAAGTAGAGAGGGTGTATGGCCTTGACACCTCCCGGCAGACTGGTGTGTAGTTCCTGCCAGTCAGAGGAGAGCCTGGCTCTCGGGACTTCTGGCAAAGCTCATTTCTCTGCCTTTGTCTCCTTTTCCCCTAGAGTCTCAGTCACGAGCTGCAGGAGGGAGGGAGGCAGTGGATCAATTAATTGTTCTTAATCTCTCAACTCAGATCCTTTTAAGTGCTAAGGAGCATGGGTAATTTTCTTCCCTTCCTGAACTCTTACGACTTTGACTGTCTGAGCTGCACAATTAGTACCCGCGCACGTGCATACTTAGACACGCTAAGAGACAGGATTGTCGGGAGAGAGGGCAGAGAGCTGAGGGGGCCCCCTCGGGATTTGTCACCTGGCAGGATTCCTGGTGCCCAGGAAGCCAGAAGTTCCTGTCCTAGCAGCTCCAAGATAGCATCTTACATTCATCTCTCATTCTGCTAATTCACCTGTCCAGTCAAGTTATTGTTTGAATGCCACCGTGTGCCAGCTCCTCTGGTGACCCTAAGGAGCAGCTGTGAATGAAGGCATGGCCTTGCCTTGAGGGGGCAAGCTTTTCTGATGGGATGGAGCAGGCAGAGACAAGTGGAGAGAGATGGGGGAGAAGGGAGCTGGGGAGAGATTTGATAGGAAGAGAGCCACGTCTTGTTCCATCCCCGTGACAGAGTGTGTAGGAGGCAGGGGAGAGTTGAGGACCTTAGGCAGTGTCCTATAACCTGAGGAAGAGGGTTATATAGTCTGCAACATGGAAGCCTGGGATAGAGATGGGCGAATTGCATCCCTGCAAGCTGGGCTAGGCCGCAGGACCGCCCCAAGGAAGAGACTGGGTGTTCCTGTGTTCCCGGTCCCAGGTTCCACCACCCACATTGCTTAGCGTGATGCTTTGCTGCTGAAGGGGAGCTGAGGCTTCATCTCTGGGACTCTCTCATGGCCTAGGTTTTGGCTGCCAGACTGGACGGGGCCTGGGGAGGTTACACGGCAGCCAAAGCTAAGTTCCTGCACCGATTGTTGTTGCTCTTAATGATGGGAAGGTGATCAGAGGATTTGCTGAACAGAGCAGAACACGGCAGGGTGGGTGAAGAAAGTGTCGGGGTTGGTTGTAAATATCCTGAGCGTGGCTCTCTCTCCAGGTCCTTAACTTAGGACAGGGAAGGGGGCCTCGTTGGCTGCTGTTTGGCACACAGGCCTCGGCAGTTCAGATTCACAATAGACTCCCCAAAGGTAGGGGTAAACCCAGACCCAGACAGCTGCTGTCAGAAGAGCCTTGTATGTGGCTGGCTCCAGGCTTTAGGGTGAGAGGATTTAGGCTTGATGCTGTACATTGCCTTCTGATGCCTTCTTTCAGCCTGTCCTTCTTTCACCTCTTTGTCCCAAACCCAGCTCATCTCTCTTAACACTCTGTTTCCTATCCTTTGCCATCTCCTGTCGCCCTGTGATGTTGCTGCTCCCTGTCCTTCCTCTGTGTGTTCCTCATGTCATTCTTGATTGATATGAGGAACCATTTGCTGTTGTTTTTACTCTTTGGCTCTTTACTCTTTTGGGGTCCCGGCACCCAGCTCCCAAATAAATCACACACAGAGGTTTATTACTTATAAATTCCTGGCCTTAGCTTGGCTTGTTTATAGCCAACTCTTAAATTATCCTGGCTTCTTTTTGCCACTGGGCTTTTCCCTTTTCTTACTTCTGTAATCTTACTTTCACTCTTACTCTGGCTGGGTAGGTGGCTGGCCCCCCATTTTTTTTTTTTGCCCCTAGATCTTCCTTTTTTCAGATTTTTCCTTCTGTTTATTCTCTCTGCCTGCCAGGTCCACTTATCCTTTCTCCGGCCTCGCTATTGGTTGTTCAGCTCTTTATTAGATCATCAGGTGTTTAGGTAGACAAAGTAACACAGCTTCAGAGAGGTAAACAAATGCAACATAGAAGAATGCAATACATCTTTACATCATTAAGCAAACGTTCCACAGCATAAAAGAATGTGACACATCTTAAAATAATATCCCATAACAGTTCACAGTCCAGCGATTAGAAGAGGTAATGGCCACAATGGTCACCAAACATCTGGGACTATAGAGAGAGGGATGCTGGAGATGGGTGAGGAGGGGCACGGTGCCATCTGCATCCACCTGCACCCTCTTCATCCAGATGACTGACCTTCCTTCCTTCCTTTTTTTCTTTACTGTTTTTGGTTTTTCAAGACAGTGTTCCTCTGTGTAGCCCTGGCTGTTCTGGAACTCACTCTTTAGACCAGGCTGGCCTCAAACTCAAAGGTCCTGCCTCTGCTTCCTGAATGCTGGGCTTAAAGGTGGTGCCACCACCACCCAGCCAGACATGTTTCCCCCACCTCTGTTTTTTGTTTTTTGTTTTGTTTCTTTAAGACAGGGTTTCTCTGTATAACAACCCTAACTGTCCTGGAACTAGCTCCTATAGACCAGGCTGGCCTTGAACTCACAGAGATAGAGATCCATCTGCCTCTGCCTCTTGAGAGTGCTGTGATTAAAGACATGTCCCACCACCGCCCGGCTCCAGACATGTTTTCTTAACGTGAAAATCTCTCCCTTACATTGGTGCCTGCAGTTTTGTTTGTCTGCTGATGGAATTGCTTGGAGAATTGAGCTGGGGGGCTGAATGAGCCCATCTGCTCTGGAGCCCCAGCCCAGCTGTGTGACGCTGGTGTCTGTATGTGGAGTGAGGTGTGCAGACAGGTGGGGGAGATACCTTCCCACAGGCGGCTGCCATACCCGGCAGCACAGTTTCCCTGGAGACTGCTGCTGTGTGGCCAGGTATCCATGGAGTGGCTGTCTGATAGCCAGAATGTTCTCACTGATCCCATTCAGACCTGGAGACATGGTCCTTACAGGACAGCCAGGATGCTGGGTCAGTGGAACAGCAGGCTGCCTTTGGCTGGTTCCTGGGTCAGAGTGCAAAGGGAACAGTCAGAGTAGGGGATCTCCAGGGAACTGAGACAAGGAGCTGAGGAAGAAGGACCTGTGCAGACCAGTACTCTCGCTCAGTAGTTCCCACAGCACAGTGGTTCTCAACCTGTGGGTCACGACCCCTTTGGTGTCAAATGATCCTTTCGCAGGGGCTGCACGTCAGATATTTACAGGTGATTCAAAACGGTAGCAAAATTACAATTATGAAGTAGCAATGGAAACAATCGTATAGTTGGGGTAGAGGGGGTCACCACAACATGAAGAAGTGTATTAAAGGGTCGCAGCGTTAGGAAGCTTGAGAACCACTGTCAACAACACATAGCAGGTGCCTAGAAGTGGTGTTAGGGTGCATTTGCTCAAGTTCCCGAGAGTAGTTGTATAGGGGGTATGGACTAGGGCCTTTGTGTTTCTAATGAGTTCCTGGGTAACGCTGGTGTAAGCATCACACTCGGAGGTTTTATTGGCCCCTCTGGAAGGATACCACAGTTAGATCAGGTCCTACACGGGTGCTTTCTGAACAGTGATGGGGTACCCGACGGACAGGCCGTGCGTACCAGGAGGATTCCTAGTATAGTCGCAGACAAGGGAGAGAGAGGCTTCTCTAACCAAAGCACTGCTCTTCTTCCTGGCTTTTTAACAAACCCCAGCTCTTCTCCAACATGGCAGGGCATTATCTTTTCCCAGACAGATGGCCTGTAGCAGGTGGCACACGTTCAGAGCCTCAGAAGCAGAATCTTGCTGTGGCGCCACTTCCCCAGATTCTGAAGCAGAAGGCCAGGCTGTTTTAAACTTCCCCAGGTGACAGGCCATGTTGTAGGGCATTCACTCCCCCCCCCCCCCCCCCCCCCCTGATAGTCGTGATCTCCTGGGCTCAAGTTATTCTCCTGCTTCAGCTTCCTGAGCAACTGGGCCTATGGTCCCTGGCTTCAGGTTTATATTTATTACTACAGTGAGCTCCCCGCCCCCTCACTATCCCTTCACTTCCCCTGACTGGACTCACCCCTGAGGTCTCTTCAGGCAGCACATCCTCTCCCTTCCTGCTTGTCCCTCCCCTGACCACTGCAGAGTCCACACCCTGTCCGTTACTCTCCAGGTCCCCCAGAGCCACCGTCTTCATCTGCACCTGAGAATTCTAGGTCCCCTGCCTTGTTTCTCAGATCTCCAGCAGATTTTGCTGTCAACACCTATGTGACGACTCCAGGTAACAAATGGTGCCCGGCATTTCTGTCTTTCAGTGACGCAGAGAGTAGAAAATTGTGCAAGAAGATGAAAGTTGACCTCAGCCCAAAAGACAAGAAGATTGAATTATTCCATTACCAGTAAGTGACCCTGGGCATTCCCAATTTCAGAATAAGTGCTGAGAGTTTTATTGGTGGTCTCAATGAACACCAGATTTCAGTTGGATTTAGTTTATTTTAGAATGATTTTTCCAGTGTATTTACCATTATTTATTAGAAAGAAAGACAAGAGGAACGAGACAGACAGACCGGCACATGCACGCACACACACACACACACACACACACACACATACACACAGAGTTCTGAGCAGTGTTGTTAGCTGAAGCATATTAAAGTTAACGCCTTTTCCTTATTTGACAGGGATGGTGCATTTCACATGGAATATGACCGAGCTGTGACGCTGAAGGTAAATTTGCCTCCCTCCCTCTCAGTGGGGTGGAGCCTGAATGGACACCAGAAGCTTGGCAGGTCTCCCTGAAAGGAGAAAGGGCAGGTTGCGTAAGGGCCCCTCCTGACCACCTGAGGGTCCTTATCATTAATTTTGATGTCAGCAGAGGATCCAGCCAGGGTTATCGCTGTTGACACAGGGGACACCCAGGCCTTGTCAGTGAATGCCTAGGACTCACCTACTGGGGCAGGTGATATCGTGACCCCTCCCCCCCTCCAGAGGTCACATTCTCCTTTTGCGCTGGCTTCAAAACCATCTCCTCATCAGTGAGGGTACCCACAGGGGCTGTCTGTAGACTGAAGGGCATGAACTGCCCGGTGTCTGGGTAAGCATGGTAAGTGTTGGGGCAGATCAGCAGCTTCAAGCTGATGTGGCTCCTCCCAAGGGAGACGTAGATACCACCAAGTGTCCCTGCTACTGTCCAATCTATAAGTAGGTGGAAAGCCTACTTATAAAAAGATAAATGCAGTCCTGAGCCTGCAGGTGCCGCCTGGCTTTCCCAGAGGAGCTGCCTTTCCGCCGCCCTCAGCTCTCCTTCCGCTTAAGCATCTTCTGCCTCACGCCAGCATCACGCTTCTGGTCCAGGGTCGTCACCTGCCTTGGCCATGCATTTCATCCGGTTCTAACCTGAGCTGAGCTCAGGCACGGTTCATCTCTGAGCACCTGTATGTCCCCCGTCCCATTTATTTGCTTTTACCACACAGGAGAATGCGCCTAGGGCCTCGTGCCTGCTCGGCAGGTGCTCTACCACGGTGTTACACCCTCTGCCCTGTCTCTCTTTCTCCATCCCTTTCCAGTTGTTCGTCTGTTCAGCTGTGTGTATAGCTGTCAGTGCTCAGCTCTGCCCTGTCTCTCTTTCTCCATCCCTTTCCAGTTGTTCCTGTCTGTTCAGCTGTGTGTATAGCTGTCAGTGCTCAGCTCCCTTGGCCCTTCTCATGGGTCATTCCTTATTTACCCAAACCTCTGTATTGAAGTTGCTACAGCTGTACCCTCCATGGCACTGGCTCTTGGCATTCCTAATGTTACGACCCTGAATACAATTCCTCATGTTGTGATGACCCCCAACCATAAAATGATTTTTGTTGCTACTTTGTAGCTGTAACTTTGCTACTGTAATGAATGGTGATGTAAATGTCTGATAATGCATGTAAATGATCTGATATGTGACCCCCAAAGGGACCACGACCCACAGGTTCTGCTTTAAGGGCTCTCTGCTTATTTCTAAACTCTCTGAACACCCATTTTGAGGTTTGGAGATCTATTTCCAACTAGAGTTGCTTGGCCTTCCGTGTTCTGTGTTGTGACATCGACTAATGTCCTTGGAGAGAAAACACATGTTCCCCGGGAGCAAAGTGTGATTGGGAAGCAGGATGGGTGAATTGTTTACACATCGATGAAGGATTGGCTGGCTTGTGATTGGACCTCTGGAAGGTCTGCCCTGGAGTCACTGAGCAGAAATGGTGCTGCCCAGAAAGAACTCTGTGTCAGGGAGGCAGCCAGAAGCCCAGGGATAGGCTGGTGAAGGGGAAAGAGTGATCTCTGTCACACTCCTGGATATATCTCTTTCTGCATCAAAGAATGGGTCAGGATGAGCATTGGGCAGGGTCTTTGGTTTCAGAATGGGCAGCCACAGTCATAGACTCTCCAAACTCAGAGGGTCAAGAGAGGGTAGGGCAGAGGAAGGCATAACATTTCTCTTGGTTGTCTGGATACTGAGCATCCTGCTAATGGTGCTCCAGGAACTGAGTGGGCTCCCAGGTGCCGATTCCCATGATGTCTCGTTAAAAGTTGGAAAGAACCCGTGGGTGGTGTTGAGCCTTAGTTAAATGAAAATGATGCCCACACAAACAGCAGGATTCTAACATGACTGTTTTAATTGTTTTCTTTTTGTTTTGTTTGTTTTTGTTTCCTCTTGATTCTGGGTAGAGGTGAGATGAGCAGGTTGTGGGAACTCTGAAGCTCAGCTCACGCTGAGTCTGGAGACAGGACTCCCCGCCCCCCAAGCCCTCTGAAGCAGTAACTGCGGACCAGTCCTATGTTCCTGATCCCCCTGACTACCAAATTAGGGACCAAACAGTATGTATGCACATAGCAAGGTGGTCCAGACTTTCCAAACTAGAGTCTTAATTTTGTGCGCTCTAGATTGAGAACACCCATACTAGGTATTTGTGGAATAGCAGGCAGGTGGGCACCCACTAGCATCTGTTTCCCGTGTTAGATGGGATGCTGCCTCTGTGGCTGTGGTAAGTGTAGGCTCCAGAAAGGCACCGTCCGTGCCGCTTGACGTATGTTGTCCTGATGAAGTTTTGACAGGCGATCAAGGAAGGGTAGGTCTAACTTTCGCAAAATGGCTGTCCTTCCCTTGCTAGGAGGGACTTCACCATTCCATCTGGGCAGACAGGCAGTGCTATCGGAAAGAGACCTTCTAAAAGCGTGGCTCGTTGTCCCGTAGTAGCCCCTCCCACATAGGAGGTTCCGGAAACAGTAGACCCACCAAGGTCCTCGCTATGGCACAACCTCATTAAGTGCTGCTTCCCCTTTCCCCCCAGCCCTCCTTCTTTCTGTCCTTACTCCCACCCTCCTCCCCAGCCCTCAGCTTGGCATTTGCTCGCTGACACTTGATAAAATTGACTGAAATAAGAAATCTTTTTTTTTTAAAAAAGTGTATGAGTATTTTGCTTGCATGCCCTCCTGTGTGTGCACCCCATGCAGGCAGTGCCTGTGGAGGTCAGAGAAAGGTGCTGGATTCCCTGGAACTGGAGTTATAGAGGGTTATTTATCATCCTGTGGTTGCTGGAAATCAACCTGGAAGAGCAGCCAGTGTTCTTAACTAATGAGCCTGCTCTCCAGCTCCCCAAAATAAGCACTCTTGTTTTACCAAATAGGCACTCTAAAGATCCTTGTGGCTGTCCCCCTCAGCCGCGAGTGGACTGGGAGGAGGCTGAAGCACCTTTCCCGGTTCCCACCCACCTTGAACATCTCCCCAGACTGAGGTGTCATTTCTGTCTACACCAGTGAAGGGTTATGGGTGGTGAGGATGGAGAGCAACTGAACATTATCCTTCACCCAAAAAAAGCCCAGCCTCGTTGCCCTGATGCAGAGGGTCCAGGGAAAGAAGTGCCCCCAGCCTGTACCAGGCCACTGGGGTGGGCAGTCTGGCCTGGTGCTTCCCAGCCCTGGCCCCACTGACTTACACGCCAGGCTCCGAGGCTCTATCAGCAGTGTAGAACGTGAACTCCCCAGCAGGCGATAAGCGCTGTGGTTACATGCCTAGAAGTTGACAGGAGAGGGGCTTAGGGATGTGGGAGGATGTGTTTTGCAGCAGCCTGGAGGCCTTTGTTCAGTTGAGCAGAAAGGCTTCCTGGGGGAAGATTTGTAGTTGAAGCCCTGGAGTGTCTCTGGCTGAAGAAACCTGCTTATTGTCTCAAGGTACAAGGTAGAGAAGCATGTCCACGTCAGCTGACCAGTGGTGCCATGTGATTGAAAAGGCCTGGGGGACGTGCTGGGAATAAATTCTGGTCACTTAGTGGTGATGTCCATGGACAAGAAATATTTCCCCCTTCCAGCCAGTGCCACCTGCAGCCCCAAGACTGGCACTTGGTGTGCCTGGATATTTAGACAGGTAGCAGAGTAGGTCTCTGGGTCTGCCAAGTCACCCATTTCCTGACCAAAGTCCTGGTTTCTTTCCCTTTTTCTCCCCTCAGTCCATAGTGGCCTTTCTGAAGGACCCCAAGGGTCCCCCGCTGTGGGAAGAAGATCCTGAAGCCAAAGATGTTGTGCACATTGACAGTGAGAAGGTAATCTGTTCCCTCTGCTTCTGTTACCCCCAGTTAGGGCCAGATATCTGTGGGAAGGTTGCTAGGATCGAAATGTAATCATGTTTTAAGCCCTAACCCCCCATCAGAAAATATTTAAAACTTAGATGAAACTGTGAAGGAGGGATTGCTCACGTGCTTGCCTGGTACCAAGAGCTGGTGACCAGAACTGCCCAGAGCCCCTGCAGCCTTCCTCAGGCATTTCTGCAGAGGTGGCCGTCTACCTGGTACTGACTGCATCTCATTACTGAGCCCCAATTCCGAACTCACTTCATCTTCATTCACCTTTGAAAGCTGCTCTGTATGCCTTTGGTTCCCCAGCTTGCAGACTCAGCATCTCACCACTCTCAAACGCCATGATTTTCACTCCCGGTGTTGAGACTCCAAGCCCAGGGTCTGGGTGCCGAGCAGACTTCCTCCCTCTGAGCTATATATCCCTAATACCGCAGTTCCTTAAAGCCTCCCTCTTTGGTTGTTTTTGAGGTAAACATCCGGTTACAATTGTGAATGTAAATAAGGGTTAGCTTTTTTTCAGGTTTTTTTTTTTTTCAGAGTGTTTTAGATTCTCACAAAAATTACAATCTTGTTTTATCTATCTGAAAAAAGTCTAAGTAATACACACTCCCTGTTGAATATTTAGAAAGTGTAGCTTATGCATAAAAGAAAACCACAAATCACCCCGTCTCTTCATTGAGAGATGGCCCACTACTGATATTTGTGGAGGCTTCTAGGCTTTTAAGGTAATGCATATATAAATATTTTTCTCAGAAGCACGTCATTGCATTTATATGCAGTTCTATACCCCCCCCCCCAGGTTAACATGCACATCCTAGTGTGACATTAACTATTCCACCCGCTCTTCAGTGCCGCAGATGTATACCATCGTGCAGGCCTGCCGTCATTTATTATCCGGGCCATGTTGCTGTCAAAGCTGCTTTTTGAAGTTTTCTCTTATTTTCCTTATTATTCAAAAAGAAAAGGCCTCTAATTTTCTTCTGAGAAAGCTGGTTGGAGGAACTTAACTGTAATCAAAATATGCTCTGTGGCGGGGCTTCTCTGCAGCCCTCAGCGGGCTCGCTTCTCTCCTCCTCTGTTGGCTCCCTCTTGGACCAATCGTCAGAGCATTGTGGCACCCGTTTTCCTTTTTCTGTTGGCCACGGTTATTTAACGGGTCATTTTATATTACCTAATAATGTGCCAGGCAGTGATCTATTTCACAAATACAGATGAGCTGTTTATGATGCCCTGGATTGTCCTGCGGGGTACTGTGGGTCTGTGGACCCATGGTGGTGGTAGACCTGAAGCCAGAGAAGAGATTAGCTGGTGTGGGCTTATCATCCAGTACTTCAGTCAGCAGATCCCCAGGGTCACAAAGAGCAGTCATGAAAACTGTTATCTTCACTGAGACAGTCACTTGCAAAATCACGTGGAGGGCTGGTCTTTTTAGTAGTCTTGTAGAAAAATGGCTCCTTGATGTCTTTGGGTTTTATAGGTAGAACTGAAAGTTAGTAGCTGACTCCGGCTTCGTCACCTTGCCCTGTGACTTGGGAGAACCATTTGTCCCCTCGGACCCTGTGTTTCATCCTCTCTGATGGCAGAGTTGTCTAGAATAGGGCAGCCCTAGGTTCTTGCAGTTCCTGTTGGGCTATGACTGAGTCTCATGTGAATTCTGAAGCATTCACTGCCATACCTCCCATCACTGCATTCTGGGGCAAAGGTGACCAAAAGCTCCCATGTTGTCTCCTTGTGTGTGACCTCCTGTGGTTTTCTCTTTATGCCCCAGGACTTCAGACGGCTCCTGAAGAAAGAAGAGAAGCCACTCCTCATGATGTTTTACGCTCCCTGTAAGTGAATGCTCCGTGGGCCACAGTCCATTCAAACTGCTGGTGATGGGCAGCCAGGGCTGCCTGGGGCCCCGGTCTCTCTACCGTCCTTCCTTCCCCTTGGCCATTCTGATTGGCTCCCATCTTCCTGCTGTCCTCTCCCTCTCTCTCCCGTCGAATTGGCAGCCTCCTGCCCTCTCTACCCTGGACGCTCCAGGGTGTCTCCTCTAGTTAGCTTTGCATTCTCCTGCCTCTGGCCCTTGAGTTTGCAGGGCGTGCCCCCCACTTGTGTGCTTGCTGTAGCTCTGCTGCTGCCCACCAGCCCCTGGACTTGCCACTCCTCACCACCCCGAGCCCGTCTGCCTTGGCAACACCAGCTCCCTCAACACTGCTGGTATCAGCTGGCAGGACCAGGGGGCCAGGGTGAGGCGAAGTAGGACCTGGGGATTTGGGCTCCATAGCTGTATGAAGCCCGAGGCTGTGGGAAATGGCAGAAGGACAGTTGAGGGGGCAGCGGGAAGACCCAGATCTGATGCCAGCTGGCTCCCAGTGAGCTGGATGAGCTTGGCCAAGTACTCCACCTCTCTGGGCTCAGTTTCCACACTTTTCAGAGAACGGGCTTCCCACCTTTTAACTGCATTTCACGGACTTGAAAAGATTTCACATCACCGCCCTGCACTGTAACTCTATGTAAATTACATGTAAATAGGCTGCTTCTGTGTCACAAAACCGTACTTACCCTCACCTCGTGCTATGTCCCGTACCAGATGATTACTGTATTCTGTTTTATTGGAAAACTGTGTGCTGTGCCTGCTGCTTCATAAGCCTCTGATACGGATCAGCAAATTGTGGCCCTGTGGCTCACTGTTTTTGTAATAAAGTTTTATTGGCACTCTGCTATGTACATTGATACAGTATCTATGGCTGCTGGACAGCGATTGAGTACTAGTAGCAGAGATACAATCGTTCTAACCATTCCTGCAGTCTCATAGTCCCAACTCATCACAGTTGGAACCTGTTAAGGCTCTGAACTCTGACCCTGGGACTACACATACCCTTCTAGAAACCAGAGGAGTTTGTCAGCTGTAGGAGGAGGTTGTGCCCAGGAGTATGCATGGTGGGGGTGACTGGCACAGTCTGTGGCACTGGGCTTCTGTTGACTCTTGAAAGCCTGTCTTACTTCCACCTTTCTGGAAGCCTCTTGCCTAGAGGCCCTTCCCCTGTTCCCTGTGTGTTGGTGTACACCTCGGGCCACATGCCCCTTTGGGGTTCTGGTGGCTTTGCCTGACTGAGCCTGTAGTTTGTTCGTGACTACAGTTCTTGCCCAGCCTCCTTGCCTTCAGAGGTGTTGGTGATGGCAGGAGGAGCCCAGTTGCCCCATGTCTGAAGTTTCACCATGCTCACTCTGGTAATGCTCACGAACAAGCTGGTCGCAGCAGGTTTTTCCCTTTGCTGAGGATCTCGTTAGTCATCCAGCTGCAGGTCGGTCCAGAAGTCACCCTCCTTGGCACCTGGAGGAGCGGGTCTCCTTTGATTTGTTTCCACCTCCAGGAGTCAACACACTGGTGAAAGGAAGATGTAGAACTGTGTGTGTGTGTGTGTGTGTGTGTGTGTGTGTATGTGTGTGTGTGTGTGTGTGTGTGTGTGTGTGTGTGTGTGTGTGTGGTTAGGTGGTGCTTTTGGGAGGCAGGGCCAGGTTACTAGCCTAGCCACCCAAGGTTCCCTGGACCACCACCAGTCATGTTAAAAGCGCGTGCATCTGCTCGCACTTGCAGCCTGATGATGTTCGAGCCGTCTGCCCCACCCACTCCCAGGCTTCCTGGCAGTGGGCCTGTTCTGCTCACGGCTGCAGAGACTGTCTTTTGTTAATAGAAAGCCGAGGCTGGAGGAGTGGGGAGCCTCAAAGGTGTCACAGAATCATATTAGTGGTGGGAAGGGAGGAAGAAAACTGACTCGCTAAGTTCATCTTCCCGTGGAGGGCCCGATTGGACAGTGGCCAAGGTCCCAGAGACTCCGGGTCTTTTTGTTATGTGTGCATGCGTGTGTTTAGTGAAAGAAACTCGGGCTTTTAGTATGCCTCCACCAACCCAGCTGCTGTGGCCCCACTCCTGGGATTCACAGCCATCTCCTACCCCGACAATCTGTCAGGACTCTGATCCTATGATTGCTTGTAGATGAATAAACCCAGAGACAGTGGGAGCCTTAGTTGTGACGAGGCTTCTGGGTCCCCAGGCCCTGCTGCTCTCTTAGTAAATGTTTGTTCACTGAATTAATGAGAAAATAAAAAGACTGTCTGCTCGGGCTTTAGGGCTGCGAGAGTGATAATTAATCTTACCTCTTTCCTACCTCGCAGTTGAATCCCCCAAAGAGGAGCTTACATGGGAAGCTTGGCACCAGCTCTGTTTTGTAGTTAGGTTGGAAATGGGGTTAGTCTGGGGTTTCCTGTCCTTTCTCACTCCCCCAGGACCTTCTCTACGCAGAACTGTTGGCCCTTGCCCCTGGGACGGCTGGGGAGTACATTTGCTGCAGGCACCTGAGGGGACAGGGGGCCGGTTGCTCCTGAGGGATGGCTGGGCTGGTGGGCAAGCACACTTCCTGGCTGAGAAAGGCAGTGAAGTGCAAGAGAAACACTTATGTCCTCCTTCCTTTCCTCCTGGAATGGTGTGGCATCCCCTTCCTCCTGTGAAAGTACTTCTCCCACTGCGGATGAGGAGCTGACTCATACCCTCTGTTGAGCTGAGATACATCCCGGGCATCCAGTGATTCCCACTGTCTTGTTAGCTCTGCACAGAACCCATGGGGCAGGCACTGTCTTCACAGACAGGGACACTGAGATTCACATTACCAGAGTCCCATAACCCTCAAGGACACGATATTCACCTACCCAGCATCCCCTATCGCTCAAGGGTCAAGGGCAGACAGATGCAGATGGGGACCGTAGTCCCTGGAAGGTAGCGTCTCTGCTCTGCAGTCTGCTGCTTTCCCTGCCGTGGTCTTGGCTTGTGTATTTCCCCTGGAGCGCTGCCTTGTTTCCGTCTCCTCGGGGAGTTCCCACAGTGAGGGCAGTGTCGTCTTCCCAGCTTTTCTGCCACTGCTAGCGCCCAGGCCAGGGTGACCAGCCAGCAAAAGAGAGCCACTTGACTTTCCAGGGCAGGTGCTGCATCCTTTCACCAGCTCAGGGTTGGTAGCGTGGGGTCGAGGTGTGCATCTGGGTACCCATCTGTCAGGCAGGAATGTTGGGGAGAAGGCTGTAGGGCATTGCTGATGGTCTGTGTCACAGTTTCCTGCATCTGTCTCTCGTAGTAGATTTGTTACCAGGAAGGGTTGGCTAGTCCCAGGAAGAGGACAGACAGATGGATACACACACACACACACACACACACACACACACACACACTCACATACTCCATACCTCTTTCTGCCCTTGGAAGGTGAGAAGCCCCTCCCACCTGGATTCTTTGCTCACAGCCTTTCAGGGCGTGAGTGTGTCGGCCTGCCACGATTGAAACATGGCTTGCTCTTTGAGATGAGAACCCAGCTGACATGTAGTTCCAGGCAGCCCTGGATCCTTTGACCCTCAGATATGCCTCTCAAGGCTTTCTTTGCAGCAGAGAAGCTGTCAGAAACGGTAACAGCTTGGCATGTTACAATTCCTCGTGACTGAGCGAGCTGGACCTCGTGCCCAGTGGGGTCAGCGCAGAAATATGGCCTCTTCTGATTAGGTGTAGATGAAGGAGCAGGTTTATGTCAGGCTTGCTCCAAAGTAATAATAGATGTTTGCCACAAGTATACCAATGCTGGTGTGGGGGGCATTACCACCCCAAGAGAGGAGCAGGACTATTCAGACCACAGAAACCTGAGAGGGCAGAGCCACTGGCTCCTGTGCAGGGCTGGGAGGGCTGGGGGGGGGGTCTGTTTTCCTCCTTTTGTCAGAAGGAGAGACAGCCCAGAAAGAAGTTAATCTGGCCAAGGCCATCAGCGGGCAGAGTAAAGAGTAGCGCTGAACTCCTCAGTCCTGGCCCAGTGCGCTTCCCACCTGCGAGAGCCAGCACCTTTCCTGCCTTCCCACCTGCTAGAGCCAGCACCTTTCCTGCCGACTTCCTCCAGTTTATGGCTTAATTATGCTTGTAAATGGGAGAGAGAAGAAGAACGAAAATCCCCAAAGTCATTGTACTCATAGTCACAAATTTTCCTTCCTAGTGGCATTTGACTCTCTAATTTGCCATCCCTGACTGGGTAAGGAGGGCAGCCTTTAGCTGTGCGTGTCGGAGGCTGCTCTCGACATCTGTCCTGCCTCCCCATGTTGCTATGGAGCAGGCCAGCCACGCTGGAACAGTGTGGGCTTTGCTGTCTCTTTGGCACCTTCTCTTATCCCATCCGAGATCCTTGGAGGAACTAATGTGCCTGTAAATTCTTTGGCAGCCAGGCCTTTGCTTCCTGTATTTTGGGTTCCACAGTCAGCCCTGAGCTTTCTAATGTGTGATGGGATGGTGTAGATGTTTGTGGGTGGCTGCTGGCCTGGTGTGGGGGTTGGGAGGGGAGCACAGGTCCTATAGTCATCACTCTAACTAGGTGTGGTTCTTCTTCTGCCTCTAACAGGGTGCAGCATGTGCAAGAGGATCATGCCACATTTCCAGAAGGCTGCCACCCAAGTGCGAGGCCACTTTGTAAGTATGGCCTGGGGGCCAGCAGAGCTAGTGGTTCTCGCTTGGGTCTGGGATGGGCTGGAGAGGGTGGGTTCTGTACTGTGACGCTGCCAGTCCCCACTGCCCAGGTTACTTCTGAGATGAGACCTGTTCTCTGAAGGGGGAGAACTAACTGCAGCGTTTGCAGGGCAGGAGTGATTGACACCTGCCAAAGGCCAGTGATCACACGGTAAGGAGACAGCAAACCAGGGCCAGGGAGCCAGGGCAGCGCATCTAAAGTCTAGTGTTTTGGGTATTGGGGTCTGTCTTAGCTAGGGTTTCTATTTCTGTGAAGAGACACCATGGCAACTATTAAAAAGGAAAACATTTAATTGGTGCTGGTTTACAGTTTAGAAGTTTAGTCCATCAACATTATAACGAGAAGCGTGGTGGCATGCAGCCAGTCATGATGCTGGAGAAGGAGCTGAGAGTTCTACATCTTGAACTGCAGGCAGCAGAAGGCTGTGTGTCACGTATGTGCTTGAGCATGTATGACCTCAAAGCCCGCCCCCACAGTGACACTCTTCCTCCCACAAGGCCACACCTACCCCAACAAGGCTACACCTACTGCAAAAGGCCACACTTACTAGTAATGACACCCCTCCTATTTAGACCACCACAGGTTCAAAAGTGGATTAGCAGTTGCTGGGAGGGAAAGGGGTTGGTGGTACTAGGGGTACACTGGAAACTCAGAGCAGGCTCCCCGAAATCAGGCTTGCCCCACCTCTTTGGGCTCTGTGTTAGGGGGTGGGGAGGGAAGCAAGCAGGCCTAGACAGGAGAGCTATAGAACCAAGACTGTATATAATCCCCCAAAAGAAGAAAGGAAAAACATGTAGGGAGGTAGAGAGGAGGCCAGTAGGTTCCAGAAAACCAACTTTTAGGGGACACGATGAAGAGAAACCATCAGGGAAGCATTTTTATTTTATTATTTTATGTATCAATCCCAGTTCTTCCCTCACTTCATCCAGCTCCCACCACCCCATCTGCTCCTCAGAGAGGGTGTGACCTCCTATGTTGAGGCCCTCCCCCTGTGTCTAGGCTGATCAAGGTATCTCTCCCATAGGAAACGGACTCCCAAAAGCCAGTTCATGTACTAGGGATAGATCCTGGATGTACTGCCCGTGGCCCCATAAACTACCCAGTCCACCCACTGTCTCCTACATTCAGGGGGTTTAGTTTGGTCCTATGTAGGTTCTGTAGCTGTCAGTCCAGAATTGGTGAGCTAGTTCCTGTGGATTTCCCCACCATGGTCTTGACCCCTTTGCTCATATTATTGCTCCTCCCTCTCTTTGACTAGACTCTGGGAGCTCAGCCTAGTGGTTACTTGTTATATGGAGGCTGTTTGTTTGTTCCCAGCTGCCCAGAACCGAAATAATCACACAGAAACTGTATTAATTACAACACTGCTTAGTCTATTAGCTTATGCATATTTCTAGCTCATTCTTATCTTTTAAATTAACCCATTTCTATTATTTTATATTTTACCACGAGGTTTGTGGCCTACCCGCAAGGTTCCAACTGACAGCTTACATCTTTCTCCTCTGGTGGCTCCATGGCGTCTCTTGACTCCACCTTCTTTCTCCCAGCATTCAGTTTAGTTCCCCATCCCCAGCCTTGCTCTACTCTGCCCTATCACTGGCCAATGCAGATTCTTTATTCATTAACCAATAAAAGCAACATATATACAGTAGGACTTCCTACAACAGTTACTTGTAGATCTCTGCATCTGGGGAAACAGTTCTTTAGAGAAGCCAGAACAAGCAGCATGGTATAGCAATTACTGAGGCAGACACTCAGAGAGGAGGAGCTGGGCTGGAGTCTACCTCGGAGGGCTACCTGCCTCCTGCCTACCCTCTGCTGGGCTGAGGTCCACCTTGGAGGGCTGCCTGCAGCCTGCCTGCCCTCTGCCCTGTTGAGAGCCATCTTCTTTGCCATAGATCTGTCGGTTCCTTAGGCTGAGTCAGGAGCACACTTGTTATGCCTACCACCTCAGCTACATATTAACATACAGATCTGAGTATGTTTACATTGTTGCGAAACAGATCTCCAGGTCAGCTAGCTCACTGTGAATTTCCGCTTTGCTCCCTGCCCCTAGCCTTGGTCTATGCCTTTCCATGATTTTGAGGTTAGATCCCTCATTAAAGTGGGATCATACAGTATTTGTGATTTGTAACTGGCTTATTTTGCTTAGCATGTTGTCCTCTATGCTAAGGACACTCATGTTGTAACATGTGACACAATGTTTTTTTCTTTTAAAGCTGTATAATATGCACACATGTACACACACACACCCCTGCCACTTCTCTATTTATCTCTCTGGACATTTGAGTTGCTTCTAGCTCTTGGCTGTTACGAAAGAGGCTGTGAACGTGGGTGAGCAGATGTCTCGTTGAGTTCCTGCTTTGACTGCGTCTCTGGTATGTTTGTCCATTTCTGCGCTTATCCATAAGTAGCAGAAGCATTTTTGGTGGCAACAGAAAAGCATCTGCTGCTTTTAGGAGCGTGGAAAAATCCATACACCACTCACAGAAGGCTGTATCACAGGAGCCATCTCACTGAGTCTGGCCCACGTCCCATTATGGGAGATCTGAAGCCTTGAAACAGCATCACAATCTTTATGGATCAAATTAAGTGGGAATTAGTTCAAAGTCAACACAAGCGCTGTCGTGTAGACGGGGAATAGCCCACTGCAAGGTTGGCTTACAGGAACCAGTGTTTTCTCTGCTGACCTCATTCTCGGGCAACACCAGGGTCCTGCCTGCTTCTCACCAGTGAATTTTTAGTAGTTTGCCTGAAGACGTTTGCCCTTCAGGTACATATATATCACTCTGGGGACATTCACTGCTCATTTTTGGGGCCTCAAAAGATAACCATATTTTAAGATTATTTAGCCTGAAGAAAAGACTTAATTACCCTCCACGTTCTCCTTGCCTGTGCCCGTGTACACTTTGAAACTACTCAGCTCGACTTCCAAACTCTATAGAACTGTCAAGTAACTCAAGCCTCAAATCAGAATACAAATGACCCCAGCCAGCCCCAGCCATATACGCTTTCTGGGCCATTCTCCTTCATTGCCACACTGCTACCTCAGTGTCCCCCAGAGTCCTACCACACTGCCACCCTGTCACAGGACCTGTTTGTGCCCTCACACAGGGCCACCCACCTTTGCTTCTGTGTCTTATCACTTTACAATTTCATGCACTCATGATCTGTGGCCTTCCTGGAAGCAGCTGCTGCATGCAAGTCAAGGATGTTTCTTTAGCAGGGGTGTAGAAGGTACCCGGTCTGTGTTGACAGATGTGTTGACAGATGGGGAGCGTGGAGTGTATCACTCCTGGGTTAGAATGGCATTCCCCCCTCCTATAGGAATCCAGAGTATTAGTTATTGAGCTCAGAAACACCGTGAGAAGGAGGCTTGTAGGGCAGGGACTTTGTCCTTGGCCAAGGGCTTATCCCAGGATGTTTCATGAAGTTGGCTCTGAAGCATACTTGTGTTCAGAGAACCTGCGCTTCCTTTCTGGGCCTAATCTGGAGATCTAAAAGTTGCCCTTTCTGGTTCCACCAGTGACATTATAGAAAAGCCAGGAAGCTTGCCCTTGAATTAAACAGCACAGTGAAGGCCAAGTGTGAGTTTACCTCCACCCAGGGCGTCTGTGTCTGTAACTCACATTTTTCCTTGCTTGAGGTTTGCTTCGTTCCATTTCCACTTTAGTTTCTTAGGAAAGCGGCTTTTGTAATGTTCTGTACTTTCGATAGATCCCTGGTTTCTGGTCTGGGACTCAGTGTGCACTGGTACCTTCCCAGAAACCAGGGAGAGGACGGAAAGGCTGGACAACCCAGAGGTGTTGATTACTTTCTGCCTTTGCACATAGATCACAGCAGGGTTGACGTGGACTCTTTTCCCCACGCATCAGAAGCTTGCCCTCCCCTCTGCTAAAACCCAGCTTGCCTAGAGCAGCCTCCTCTTCATCATTGTCATCTTTGAGATTTGAGGCCTTTTTTTTTGGGGGGGGGGGTCTGGCTGTACCTGTGCAAGGATCAGAAGTTGTCTTCTGCTCCAGAGCGCGGGAGGTGTCTGACCTGATGATGTCATACAGGAAGTCAGGCCAGGCCAGGGATATGTGGCCTTTGCCATTTTCCAAACTCAAATCTGCCCCATTGGCACTGACACTGGCCAGTGGTGAGTCATGGGCATCTGTCCTCTCTGCTGCTAGCTAATTGGCATACTTGTCCGCAAGCCAAGCTGCTCCTTGGGTCAGCAGCATTAGAATGAGCTGTGCCTCCATGTGCTGGCCTTCCCCGCCCTGGCCCCATCTACACTGGGCCTTTGAGCATCGCCAGTCTCTCATTATCTTCGGCCACGATTGGACAGATGGATGTAAAACGAAGTGTGATGGTCCTGGTAAAAGGTCCTGATGACCTTTACAGACTTGTAAAGGTCAGGCTTGGTGCAGGCGCTCACTCACTGCCCAGCCTGGAGTTTTTGAGCAGCGAGGTGCTGAGTCTTGGATCCTCCATTGCTCTAGCTATGAAATGGGGATTATGATGCTGGTCCTCTGGGTTGAGAGGCGCAAATGTGTAAGTGATGGTGCACTTTGTAGGTGTAATGCCCTCCACCTCCTGACTACCTCTGTGTCCCATCATCAGGTTCACTAGGGGAAGGTGCCTCTGAAGCCTGCATTCTCTCTGTAGTGCAGAACATGCCTGGCACTGTGCTTTCTTTGTCCTGCCATAGTCCACCCCTTCATGATCTCTGTGCCCCTGCTTCTGCCCTAGCTCATTTCCTAAGCTCCAGTACCACATATCTGATAGCTTGCACATTACAGTCAAGATTTCCCTCTCTTATTATTAATGCAGTATTTAAAAACAGCTTCCTGCCATGTGGCCTACTGTTCCCTTCACCTGTAGACTTCCTTCAGTAAATCCTTCCTTCAGCTCCCATTACTGAGCTGCCTGGATCCTCAGCAATGTGTCCTGCACCTTGGCAAATACCTCTTTTCACATTCACCCCCTTGTGTACATCCACCATCTTATGTACATCTGCCACCTTGTCTACATCTGCCATCTTGTCTTCATCCCCCATCTTGTCTACATCCGCCATCTTATCTACATTCACCCCCTTGTCTACATTCCCCATCTTGTCTACATCCCCCGTCTTGTCTACATCCGCCATTTTGTCTACATCTGCCATCTTGTCTACATCCGCCATCTTGTCTCCATCCCCCATCTTGTCTACATTCACCCCCTTGTCTATATCCACACATAGGTATTTGTTGGAGACTACTCACTTGTTCCCTGACCTACAACTCTCCCTTGACAACCTGCCCTATCCTGTGCATACACCTTGTGTTTTCCAGAGCTCTGAATCTGTGAATTTAGCCAACAGTGAATCTAAGATATATATTGAACATGTGCAGACTGAGTTTATCCCTTCAGTCATAACTATCACAACTATTTAGCGTCTATATCATCTTCTGTTTGGGGATAATGTGAGGTAATTTGGAGCATATGAGACAGTTTCTGTAGGGTATATGCAAATACTACCCCATTTCATAGAAGAGATGAGAATCCCAGGATTTCAGTATCCTGGTGTTTTCCCCAATTCCAGTGGATACTAGGGAATGACTGTGTTTTAATGAAACACTGCTGGATAGTAATATTTTCTTTGAACTCAGTAGTTTTCTACCATACCTGAATGGAGCCCCAAATGCATTGACAACTAAACTCTTTTCCAAAGTGACTTTGGCTAACTTGCTTGTAGCCTTCTCTCCTCCAATTCTATGTATTCCATAGTCCAGCTGGAGTAGACACACTCTCCATGTTGGGGCTCGTGGGGGGACACATGTTCCTCCTGCTGTAGGCCTTGTTTCATTTCCCTTCCTGAATGTCTTGGAAGCCTGACCCTGCTTGGAGCAGCAGTTTATGAACTCTCCCCACTGTGCAGCATCCATGACCGTTCCTGCCAAGGGTTAAATGTGAAGAAGTGCCTGTTGGGCATCCATTTCTACAAGTTGTTCAAAAAAAAATACATATCTCGCTGGATGTAGGAGCACACACCTTTAATCCCAGGCCTGGGGAGTCAGAGGCAGGAGAATCTTTGAGTGCAAGGCCAGTCTGGTTGCAGGACAAAGTTGTAGGACAGTTAGAGCTACATAACAAAACCCTGTCTCAAAACGTACACTCACACGCGCACACTCACAAACACACATCATACTTCTCATTAACCAGTCATTGTCCCCCAAATGGCCCAGAAGTGCTACAGAAACACCCAAGTGTAGGTGTTTTGAAAAGGCTATTCTGGAGATGAGAGATTTTGGGTTTTGCCTAAATAGACGAATGAGTCTTTAGTGGTTGCCACATGGTAGGGAATAGGCTAGGCATCTTCAGCAGGGGAACCAGAATGCCCAAAGTGAGGGACCAGAAGCAAAGACAACACATGCTTTAGAAATGTGAGCAGATTATCAACCTTGTGGTATTAATAAGAATACCCAATTTATCTTGAGTTTAAGCAGATTTTACTTGTGTTGTCCCTCAATCATCAAAGCACACGAGTTGCTGCAGATGAGGAAACTGAGGGAGAAGAGGGGTTGTTGAGCCTTGTCAAAAGAAATGCATCTGCTAGGTGGGGAGTTGGACGGCAGTCCAGGTGTCTGTTTGGAGCTCAGAGTGCATACTCTACGGGTGGTAGTAGTGGGGGAGGAAGATGAGGAAGATGATACACACCCAGGTGTCTGAGAAGCAGACGTGCCAATTTCCTTCCTGTGCAGAAATCTTAGACTGTCTCCTTCCTTGCTTAAAAAAAAGAAAGAAAAGAAAAGAAAGCAGAAAAAAAAATCTGGGTCCTAGCAGGTGTACAATTAAGAGATTTGTAAGAAAGAAGGATTTAGAATTGAGACAGAGACCATATGGGCTGAGTACAGATTGGATTTCCGCCTGTATTCAGCAGGATTGTAAGATGGAGTGCAGAGAAGGGATGTGATGAGGGAAGAGGGTGTGTGCACTGACGTGAGGGAGATCAATTAGCCCGGAGAAAGGAACCTCCAGGTAGACAGATACCACTGGAACAGACTGAATCACGATGGGGACTGAGCAGCGTGTCTTGTAGGGGGCTCCAGGCCTTCTAGTCAGTTCTGTTTCAGGCTTATTCCCCCATATTCTTCACAACATCCTAAAATGGGATGGGGGAAACCCTGTTGGCTTAGCAAGCCTGTGTTATGCGTTTTGTTTGCCAGGCACTGTGCTAGGTATTTAAAACAATTGGAAAGGTGCTTCTGGGCTGAAGGGGCTGACGGCACAGACAACACATCAGGACCATCGGGGCTTATAGGAAAGAAGGACCCGGAGGTCACAGAGCACCCGTTTGGGTTTAAAATCTTTGACCTCATTCTATTCTCTTAAGAGACCTGCAATAGTCACATCACCTACACCTTCCAAACAAGGAGCCTCAGGGAGGGGGACTTTGCAAAGACCACACAGCTCATAGGTGATCCAGTTCATTGCTCACCAGAGTCACTGTGTTCCTTATTCTCTTTCCTCGTGTCCATCTCTGTTAGAATCTAGTGCTGAGCTTCCTGTATTGTCTCTTATGTTCTCCCCTTCACTTCTGTGTTACTCTGCTCTGAGAGCATGGCCAGCCTTCCTGTGCTGATCATCCTCCAACATTCTCCCATGAGAACAGACTCGAAGTTGTAGCCCCTAATCCAGCCCCGTGGGAAAAGGGCCCACTGTAGGAAGGCCCATCTCAGGAGACAGCACATTCTTAGGGTTTAGCCACATGGCAGCGACACAGCTATTCACGTTCCAGTTCGTGGGTGTGGACCATGGAGGCCCCAGAACTAGAACGCTGTCAGACTTTTCTAATTGTAGTCAAACCAGACTGAGTTTGGGGGTCACTAGCAGGAAGAAATAGAGGGGTCCCATGGTTAGGTCAGGCGTGGGGAGAGGTTAAGCAAGCCTGTGGACATCTCATCTCTCATGCACTGTAAGAACCATGGTCTCCTTAGCGACGCATGAGACATGGAGTGTGAAACGACTGTATCAAGCCTCAGTGGGCAGCCTGAGGACAGGACATGAGGTGCCCAAGGCCCTTACACAGATGCTCAGTGTGTCCAACCACTGTTCCCATCACTTAGAAAGATGAGCCCTGCTTGAACATATTGTGTGCTTTGGTGGCTGTGGCCTTGGTCCTGGCTCTCTTAAGCTCAGCCCTCAGAACCCTGTTTTTGTTCCAAATGCTCCTTCTTGTGGAACAGCTGTTTGGAGGGCGGCCCTGGAACTCAGATGTCTGGCTTTCCCAAAGCTCTCTATTGTTCTCTGGGCTGGTTCAGACAGCCTTGTTCCCCTTGTTTACACACCAGCTAGCAAGACTTTGTCCCGAGCGTCTTCCAGTGGTCCACCCGGCCAGGCCAGTCATGGGTAGGTGCAGATAGTGGACCCGTCTCTTCTCCATCCTTTCAGGTGCTGGCTGGGATGAACATCTACCCCTCAGAGTTTGAAACCATCAAGGAAGAGTACAATGTGCGCGGCTACCCCACCATCTGCTATTTCGAGTAAGTCTCCTGATTCCCTTCCAGAGTACAATGCCTTTCCGATGGCATTGGTGTCCCTAGCTGAGCCAGTTTGTCATTTCACAGGAAAGGGCGGTTTCTGTTCCAGTATGAGAACTATGGGGCCACGGCTGAGGACATCGTGGAGTGGCTGAAGAAGTAAGTCAGGGGCATTTGTGTCTGGGTTCATCAGGGTTTGGGGGGGCATCTGCTGTGCTAAGGGCAGCTGCTCACTCACAGGGCTATGCTGGAAAAGAAGGGCAAGGGAGGGAAAATACGATCACACTGCCTGTGTGGCTGCCCCCCCTCCCCCCCGGTGCGGCTCTGTGATAGGGGCTGCAGGAGCTATGAGGATTTGCTGAGCTGTTGACCTGTGGTGACGGGACCTGTCTAGAGTTTGCTCACTCTCTTTCTTCATGGCATGGAGGTGGGGAGAGGCTATCCAACCTGTCAACTCTCTTGGCTTAGTCAGGGGGTTTCTGAAATCTTCCCATGCAGATTGACACCCCCCCACACACACCCGACGATGATGGATGGAAGTATTTCTCACCCAGGATATCATGTTTGAGAGAGTTCTGTAGTGGTCTCTCTCTCTGAAAATAGGTCTGTCACTTGAGTGCTTATTTAAAAAAACAACACTGTATTAGATGCTGTGAAGCTATTCGGGAACATCCTAATTCTTCGACTCTCTCTCTCTCTCTCTCTCTCTCTCTCTCTCTCTCTCTCTCTCTCTCTCTCTCTCTCTCTCCCTCTCTCTCATACACACACACACATACACACACCCAACCCCGCTCCATGACAACCTTCAGTCCCTGCTTTATAATATGATAAGATCTCTGGACATCAGATTCCACAGTTCTGCTGGCCCCATCCCTCATCTTAGCCAACACAAACCAAGCCAACTGCTGTGGTCTTGTCCATCTTCCCACTGAACATTCTCCTCTTCCTAAGCTAAGCCTAAGCCTTGCCAGAGCCTTCACAGAGCTCAGTGTTCTCTCCTGGAGCCCCCAGCCCACCCCTTCCCCAGTGCCCACCCCACTCTCACGTGTGGTCATTTGTGCATACATCGAGGAATAAGAGCTACCGATGGGGCCTTCTGCTTTGTGGCTAATACCGTTGTAAGCACCTGATAGAGTTTCTCGTCCAATACTCACAGTAGCACTGGTGGGAAGATGTTTTTATTCTTGTTTCATGGTCAAGTTAATGTTAACAGAAGTCGAGGGACAGAGGAACTTGCCCAAGACTATAGAACTGATGATAGGTAGCGAGACCGCTGACCCCATTCCCCAGGAGGCCCCCTGGAGTCCCACTCAGAGCTCAGCATAGGCCCTCAGCCTCACCTTTTCTCGGTCGCCAGCTCATTAATATATATTGGCATCTTTACTTTAGGGACCCCAAGTGCAAACCCTAGGGTTAAAGAATTAGTTATCCAAAGATAGAGAGGTTCAGGATGTGACTTTTCAGAAATTGTGGTAAGAATGGATTTTGTATTAAAAAATCAAAACTCTAAGGAACACACTGATGGATTTCTGAATGTTGATGCCCTGTCTCCCTAACTCCCGAGGGCCCAGGAGATAAAACACCAGTCCACCTGTGTTTGCATAGAGATGCGTATTTTTTTGGATGCGTTCCCACATCTCTGTCCCCATCGGCTACCTCATTTTCAGGCCCTGCCTGGGAAGGCTGTTCCCTATTACCATGTGTTCACCGTCTTAACCCGGGCCTTCACTCCCGTTTCCCTTTTTCATTTGATAATAAGCGTGTACTCTCCTCCAGTCTGACATATCTCGGTCCGCTTTGGGAAAAGGTTTCAGCAAACAGCAATCTCGTTTGTCACCAGAGCATAAAATCTGCCTGCTTCCCTCCCCCTTCTCCAACCCTTTCTCATTTCAGAACACCCTCATCTCTTTCTAGAAGGATAGGGTTTTGTCTGGGGCGGGGGATGGGGTTTGCTTGGTGGAGATTTGTGATGGGTGGCTGTCTCCACTGGAGCCTGCCTCTCCCCTTCCGACCTGATCTGCTGAAGCCCAGGGCTGCCTTCTAAGGAACACTATCCTGGCCATGCATGCCAGGTCTTCCCACCTCTTTCCTCATCTCCTCCGAGTCAGAAGGAGCCCCTGCCATCAGCCTAGTACATCTGTAGTCTCCAAGATGAGAAGGAGCCCAGAAGGAAAACTTGGGCTCCCTGCAGCCACACTCTAGGCAGATATGAGCACTCAGGGTTGGGGCACATTGCTGTGCTCCCCCGCCCCCGCCATCAAAGTGGGAATGGATAAGTCTCACCTCTTACAGGCTGTCCAGTGAGCTGCCTGACCTCATGCCCCAGCAGTAGTTAGCCACGCCACTGGGTTGTCAGTTACCTTAAATTTTTAAGTATTTTTCTGAGTTTATGGATTTTTAAGTAAGATGTTTCTTGTAGAAAACCTTTTAAAGTATGAGGAAAAACACTTCTGTACCCTTTTACCCAGAGACAGTCGTGTGAATTTCCTTCCAGATTTTCCACCGCGCCCACCCATCTCTGTGTGTGGTTTCTCCTTGCGTCATGCATTTTAAGTCTTTACTGTTTTTTTCCAATCTTAGTGGGCAGTAGAGGACCTCGCCTTAGCACTGCCCTGGCCCTGAGCTGTTCTCGGGGTCTCTGTAAGCCAAGTGTGAGGACTGGGGTGGTCCCATCCTGGCTGTTTCTCCCAGTGATGTATAAAGCCCCCGACAAAACCTGCCCTTCCTAGAACCCAGTCCTGGTGTCTCAGCACACACAGGCTCTGGAACAGACAAACATTATAGTAGCTGTACCCCCTTGAGATTCTAAGGGCCTTGTCACCTCTGCGGAACTGGGGTGACAGACAAGTAGAGGGGTGAGTAAACAGCAGTCCGTTTTGGCCTCACTGCCTGCTTCTGCCTGTCTCTCTGAACCAGAGATGCCCAGTGTTCCTGCCCCCTGCTGCTCCGGTTGCCTTTCTCTGTCTGTCTTTCTCCCACCTTTCCAGTCCTGGAGCCCAGGACAGATACTACATCTAGCCTGCAGAGCACCTGGAAGGGTACTGAAGAGTCAGTGAGCACACCCTAGCAATAACCCACAGCGTCCTTTACCTCGATTTTTTTTTTAGCCATGTATATTTGTAAGAGTGTGGTGTATGTGTGTGGTCTGTCTGTGCGTGTTAGAGTGTGCAGGTTCACGTGGACATGCACCCATGCAGAGGCCAGAGGAGATGTTGAGTGTCTTGCTCTATCACTCTCTGCTTTATTCCCTTGCATCTAGAGCTAGGCTGGCAGCTAGCAAGCCTAGGTGATCTTCCTGTGTCTGCCTTCCACAGTACTGGGGTTAGATACAGGAGACCATGCCTGCCTTTTAATATGGGCTCTGGGGATTTGGACCCAGGTCTTCATACTTGCATGGTAAGGACTTATATCCACTGTACTATCGCCCCAGCCCTTTGCTTCTTTTTGAGTTCAAGTTAGGCTGATTATCTAGGAATGTCTGGTTTATCCTTGTACATTTACAGAGCAGCCCCTGCCCATTGTGTGCCTGTCAGTGAGAACCTGAGAAGTAGCCATAGAAGGCCAGCGAGTGGTCCATTGTCTAATTTTTAAATTCTTCTCTCACATTACATCCCGACCACAGTTTCCCATCCTCCTCTCCTCCCAGTCCTTCCCTCCCTCCCAATTCCACTTCTTCCTCTGTTTTCCTTCAGAAAAGGACAGGTCTCCCAGGGATATCAACCGAACATGACATGTCAGGTTGCAATAAGAGTAGGCACCTCGCCTTGTATTAAGGCTGGATGGGGAAACCCAGTAGGAGGGGAAAAAGGTCCCAAAAGCAGGCAAAAGAATCAGAGACACCCCCACTCCCACTCTTAGGAGCCCCTCCAGAACACCAAGCCACACAACAATATGTGCATAGGGCCTAGCTGATGGTTGATTCAGTCTCTGTGGGCCCTTTGAACCTAAGTTAGTTATTTTGTGGGTTTTCTCATGGTGTCCTTGACCTAACGTTTGGCTGTGGGTGTCTGCATCTGCTCCCATAATTTGTCCAGCAGATATTTTAAGTTGAAGTTGCTTAAGCTTCAACTTTAAGTTGAAGTTGCTTACCTGGGCTCCTGCGGTCAAGGCGAAGGTCAAAGGTCTAGGTGCCTTTATGTCCTGGTTCTGTTGTCCGCTGAGTGTAGACTTAAGCATGCTTGCTTCTTCTCTGGAGCTTCTACTGGTTGGCATTAGTTCTCCTCATAGATACAGAAAGTAAAGCATGGGTTCTCTTTTCCGAGCAGTCTGAAATGCCATTTTAAATTTTCACTTGTTTATTCTTAGTTTTTGAGACAGGGTCTCCCTGTGTAATCGACCAGGCTCTGGCCTGGAACCCACAGACATCTGCTCTCCTCTGTGTCCTTAAGCCAGGTTTCTTCACTCATTTCTCAGTGAGCTTGCATTAGTTGCCTGGTGTGTGTTGGGTGCAAGAGATAGGAGGGCAAGGGGAGCCCCAGTCTGCAGAGCGCTGGCTGCATGGGTGGCAGTGAAGAACCGTCCAGGGCTCTGTGCACAGCCTTCTGCTTGCTCCGTTCAGCCCATGCTCCTATAGCTGTGTTCCTCCTGCAGCGCTCTCTAGAAGGTAATCCCCCAGTTGTCTGTGGCATGGGCTTGCAGTGTCACCGACCCGCTTCAAGGGTGTGGCTCCTGTAGCCGTGGTGATTTTTTTTTTTTTTTTTTGCTTACTCCTGAAATTGTGCTGACTTCTCCTCCCGCTTTGTCTGTCCGGTTGTTTTCATTTTGGTGGATTATACATTCAAAAGAAATGGGACCAAAACCTCATTGTGGTTTTAGGGTAGTCTCTAAACTGGAAGCTTCTCGGGCTCCTTCTTAATACTCTGCCAGGACTTAGCTTTTGCATCTATGTTGATGCTCTTGCTGAGTTCTTAAAATTACTTTGATTTTTGTTGTTTAGTTTTTCAAGACAGGGTTTCTCTGTGTATCTCTGGCTGTCCTGGAACTCACTCGGTAGACCAGGCTGACCTTGAACTCGAGATTCACCTGCCTCTGCCACCCCCCATTTCCCCCCAGTGCTGGGATTAAAGGCATGTTCCACCACTGCCCAGCTTACTTTGATTTTTAATAGACTACATTCATATAATTTTTTAACGATTTAAGGTACTTTAGTATGCATTGAAAAGCCTTACTTCTGCTTTTTCTCCCTTCCTGTTCTGCCTGCCACATCCTAGAGGTATCAACTTCAGCCTATTTCTTGTATGGTCGCAAACTCTTTTTTCATAGCAGCCACAAACAAGAGCATTTATCTGCTTTCTTATACAAGAGCTGGTAAATTATAGATTGCTGTGTGCGTCTCCAGAAGTCTTTCCATGCTGCTGAGCAAAGAGTACGCATTGTTCTTCAGTGCTCAGCCCCCACTAATAGAGATGGTTCATGGTGTACCCAGCCTGTCCCTACTGATGCCTGCTGACTGACCCCTGGTCTCTGCATGGCAAATCACCTGCTAGAGATACCTTTTAAAAATTAGCCTTGTCATCATTATCATCATTATTATTTTGAAATAGAATCTCACTATGGTAACTTGGCTGGCCGGGAACTTGCTGTGTAGACCAGGCTGGCCTCAAATTCATAACGATCTGCCTGCCTCTGCTGGGGTTAAAGGTGTGTGCTACCACAGCCAGCTGCAGTAGACATATACTGTGAAGATGAATTCTCTAATGTGATTGATGGTGTGAAAGGTTAGTGGCTTGAGCCCAAATATAAGAAGCTAGATTTGAGCTCGTGTCTGGCTGGTGATTCCTCAAAGTTTGAATATGTCACCAGAACCATCTTGTTATAGAATATAGGGGTCACATCCTATGTCCCAAATCAGGTCCAACCTCTCATCCTCAATAAGCCAACTAAAGAGCCATTATCAAAAGTGGAATGCAGCTGGTTATAGCGGCTCACGCCTTTAATCCCAGCAGTTGGAAGGCAGAGGCAGGTAGAGCTCTGAGTTTGAGGCCAACCTGGTCTACATAACGAATTCCAGGACAGCCCTGTCTTGAAGAAAACGAAAATGAATAAATCGGTGGAAAGCAGGAAAGGGAGGTATTTGTTTTCAACAGGATCCCATTGGGAAGACGGACAAAGGGATCCAGCAATCCCCAAGTCCATCTTTGAGGTCTTGATGTGAGATATCCGGATGTTTGAGTAGAGAGCTGTTCTGGTTAAGGTGTAGTCCTGCCCACTTTTGACCCATCATTATGAGCTTCAGTCTCCATTGTAGAACTGTGTGAAATCTCTTTCGGGGAGACCAGTTCCCCCTCTAGCTGGTACCCTTTCCTTTCCAGCATGAGATTCCAGCGAAGTTCTTGTTTCTTTGGGGCATTGTTCAAGTCTGGTAGACTGAGAGACACGTGTGGTTTCTTTAGAAACCGTCAGTCCTGTCAGGCCTGTTACAGCCTGACACTGGTAAGCAGGGGCCAAAGGCGGTGCCACTTTCTGTTTCTCCGACTGTTGTGGTCCCTGCAACACCACACCAGTGAGACTGAGGCCACCAGGGCAGCTCAGTCCACAAAGCCAACATGGGCTCATAGGCTCTCCACCCAGCTTTGCTTCTGTGGGGTTGGGAGACGGCAAGTCCTGCTGTGTGAGCCGCTTCACTCCTCTCCAGCCCCGACTTCCTGAACTCTATAAACTGTAAGTGCTGTAGGCACTTGCAGGAGGGGAAGAATGGTTGTCTCCAGCCCAGTCCCTGCTGGAAGCACCTACTGGTGGGGAACAGTGGTTGCCCCTTTCACATTTGTCATTCAAAGGATTTTTCCAAAGCTGCAGTTAAGGTGTTTTGGCAAAGGTGCTCGGCAGTAGAGCAGCGGGGATCTTATGTCACCAGGCATCTCCTCCTGGGCAGGAAGTGGGTAGCTAGGAACCTTCTCTTCATGTAGCTCCAGGGCCTACAGTCACCAGCCTGTGCTTCTCCATGGAGGAGGCAGCCGCTGGGGTTTGCAGCTGGTGAGTGATGGAGTAGTTGAGGGCTCTGGGCGGCAGCCATGTCTGTTCTTAGCCTCTGGAAGGATTAGTAAAGTGTCGAAGATTCTGGCAGGACGTATACTACCAACCTGGTTTTCCTCAGGCTCAGTGGTCACCCCTGCCCCCTTCACACCTTCTTCCTCCCATGCCCTGCCAGTGGGTGGCAGAGAGCAGGACATCCAGCTTCCCCAGAGGGCACTCTGCACCATTGCTCTTGGTCCTCGCCAGCTTGCTGGAAGTTTGCAAGCCTTGAAAAGGCTAACAAGCCCTCATGTTGCTGGGAAAAGTGAGATTTCCTGAGCTGTCTTAGAAAGTTGTAGCACTGACTAGAGTCAGCTAAGTACCTCTCTGCTACTTTGAGGGGCAGGTGGAGATGGGCAGGGCAGTCCCTTGCAGTCCAGGACTCTTCCTTAGGGCCAGTTTCCAGTCTATAAAAGGCCTTGGTGTGGGCGCTATGTGTCCAGGGGGCTGGATTTTGCATGGGCTGTTCAGGCCCCGGGGCTTTCTCTGAGCTCTGCCTGTTTTTGGTCTTCCAGTCCACAGCCGCCACAGCCCCAGGTCCCCGAGACTCCCTGGGCAGACGAGGGCGGCTCCGTTTATCACCTGACCGAGGAAGACTTTGACCAGTTTGTGAAGGAGCACTCCTCTGTCCTCGTCATGTTCCACGCCCCGTGTGAGTGGAGCTCCGCTGCCCCTACCTCCCCCTTCCTCAGAGTAGGACACCACCTTGGGACTCTCTGGATGGGGACATAATGGGAACTGGGCATGGTGCCGATCCATCGGAACTGCTTAAAAGTCCTGGTCAGGCCGCACGTGTCCCTCAGCAGAACTCAGGCCTGAGCATCCTCCAAGCCAGTAAGGGCTGAGGAGTCAGACTGGGTTCTGGCAAGGCAGTACCGGTCCTCCTTACTGAGGGTGGGAACCATGTGGGGAGAGGGCCTGCCCCTGCTCGGCAGCTGGGCAGGCAGTGAGGCCAGCAGCTAGAGTACCACCCTGCTACTTCACCGCATTCAATCTCAACCCGAGATGACTGCAGAGAATCACAGTCCCTGGTGCTCTCAAGAGTGACAGGGAGTGACAGGAAGGCAGATAGCATCTTTCTGAGCCTGTGTCCTCTCTGTACCCTGGAGAACAGAAGGTTGATTAGGTGGCTTCAGGAGGAGAGGGCTGTCCTTGAAGGGAGAGCAATGTCACATGAGAGCAAAAGATGGCAGCCCTGTGCAGAGCTGCCAGGGGCTGCTGGGAAGGGCTGGCCACTCCCAGTTGGGGATGAGCTAACTGGCCTGGGATAAACTATGCGTTTGTGAGGTCCTCTCTTCTCATAGCCTCCTGCCACCGGTTTGGCTTAGTGATTAGAGTGAAAAATTACAGAGAAGAAAAGAAAATGGCAGGAATTCCGTACTTGACAAATGCGTGTGTGAGAGGGAGAGAGGATGGAGAGCCATAGAGACACTCCCAGAGGAGGAGGAGGATGCACCGCTGATTAATCCTGTCAGCACAAGGTCCTCTTGCTGACAGAGTGGCTTCAGAAGGGTCATCTTCCATCTAACCCGCAGGGCCACTGAGTGGGTGTGATTAGCACCGCGTTGCAGATAAGATTGTCACAGATTGTTCACTGTGCTACTTTCTGTCTCTGGTGGCCAGTGCATGGGAGTGGGAGGGGCGTGGGGGAGCAAGGTCTAGCTTGACCCCTCTTAGGGAGCTGCTACTATGAATTTCCCTAACTTTGTTTTTTTTTTCTTAAAAGTGCTAAATTCTTGGGAATCCAGAGGAAAAGCATTTCCTGTGGTTTTGTTTCTAGTTCTGGAAAACAAAGAGTTCAGGAACATTTTCCCCCCAGAGACCCTTTAGACTTGGGAGTAAGACCTGCTGATTAAGGACAGCGTCAGAGGGACAAAGCAAGATGGGTACACCTGTGATTCCAGCCCTGGGGATGGGAGAACCACTGAGTTTGAGGCCAGCCTAGGCTACAGAGTGAGAACTTAGCTCAAAAACAAGGCAAAGAAGATTAATGACAGGGCCTGTGAGGTGTGGTGTTCTCCAGGCAGGGCAGACAGGGGATGTCCTTAGTTAATGGGTCTCCCAAGGTTAGTGAGACCTTAGAGACACCGACTGCCTGGGCTGCAAGCAGCACCGTACCCACCCCCACCCACCTCCAAGCTACAATACACTTTCCTAGTCTGTCTCAGAGTTGTGGATGGAAGCAAGTCTTGCAGGTAGTTATTATGTTGGATTCAGAGCTGAAGTCGCCCTGCTTGCATCCCCATCCCAGCTGTAGAAGCGAATACTGGCAGATGCTGGAAGATGCCCCAGCATGTTCTCCTTCTGTCTGTCTGTCTGTCTGTCTGTCTGTCTGTCTGTGGGCCGGCACATGTGTTTATCACTGCAGAGTGAGGGGTGCAAGTAACAGCATGCGGTTTACCTCTGGATGAACTGCCCGCTAATGTCCCCGTAGATGGCAGTGGTCCCTTTCCTTGCCAGGAACTGTGCCTTTCAGCCTGGGGAGGGCTGAAGTCTCATGGTGTCAAGGGGAGCCAGAGCTCAAGATGGGGTCCACGTGGATCACTCTTAGGAGCTTGGATTTGTGCTTCAAAGCCAGAGTGCTCTGCAAACCCTGTCTGGAAGCTGGAGGCCTGAAGAGCAAGAGAGGGTGACTCCTAAAAGTCCTACTGTTTCGGGCGTCAGTCCCAGGCCATGTAGAGAGCGACTGAGAAGCAGACCCCACCCCCGCAAAGATTAAGGAAAGGGAAGTTGGAAGTTGTCGCCATAGCAAAGCATGACTCTGCTACAGATTGCGCTTCACTTGGTTCCTGGGCAGGGTTACTGGATCAGAGAGCGAGCTTGCCTTTCTTTTTAGGGAGACAGTCAACAGGTGAATTGCTGTTCTGCCCGTGATAGGGAGAGCGGGACAGGATGGGGCCACCTGGGGGAGCATCCTCAGCCCGCCTTGTCTGGAGAGTGCATACTTAGATGTAACCAGCGACTAAAAAACGGGTGATGAGCCTCGAGGCTGACTTTCAGAGTTGCAAGGTTTATAACCGAGTAAAGAAGTTCACCAGCCGAAAGAGCCAGCTTCTTCCTAAGATGCTTCAAACAGCCCAATAGGCCGAAGGAGTGGGGCTTAAGCTAGAAAAATAAACAAACCTGGTTTTAATGACTTTTGGCAGTTTTATTGATGAGTAATATAGGAACACTGGGGAAAGAAGGTTCAGCTATCCCAGCTGAGCCCTGTGAGACCCCCTGGCTTTCTTTGCAGAGTTCTTTTCTGTCCATGCACTGAGTGCTAAGACAGTGATTGTTCCTGTCCTGGTCTCCCTTTGAACAGCCTGGGAGAGAAGGTGTTCACCCTTCCTCCTGACCTGTGCCTACCCAGGCAGGAGCTCCTGGCAACTGTAGGTTGCAGAGGAACCTCACATGTTTGGTGCCTGTAGCTTCCTCAGGGTACCTATGGACGTGGTCCTGGGCTTCCAGAGGGTGAGGCATGTGGGCCCTGCTTACTGTATGGTTAATCTCACCAGTCAAGAATAAGACCACTACCCCAGTTGAAAGCCAAATGTGAAACAAGCTTTAATCAAATACTGGCCAGGTGGATGGGATCTGTTCAGGTTCCCGGGAAATGGCTCAGCATCACATGTGGCAGGGGCTTAAGAACCCATAATTCCTGCATAACCCACTACATTTCCCTTCAGGCCCCATCAGGGACAAGTACTCTCCGGACCTATTTCCTGCCTGTGTGCCTCCCACTCACATGTGCAGATGGGTCAAACAAACTGGTTTAGGGGAATGAAAACTTGTGGCTTGTCTCTCACAAACAAGTCTCCAACATTCCAGGAACCCTCTGTCCTTGGGCAAGGGACTCGCAGATCAGAGGCATTTTTGTTTCATGGAACTCTAAGGCATAGTAACAAACTTAAAATGTAACTTTGGCTCTCACAGTTTTCATTCCTCTGTAGTCAGGCTGACCTTGAAACCTCGGTTGGTCCCCAGCTTCTTCACCTTCTTTTTGCCTCGGCTTGCCCATGGCTTTCCTTCCCCGTAAGCCATCCAGACTCTGGTACAGCTGGTGCCTTGGTAATCACTGGGTGGCGAGGTATTGGCAGCATCCATTGAGACCCTCTGCGTAGACTAGCTCAGTCACCTGGTTTACAGCCAGGCTTGTCCCCTGGGTCCTGCTCTCCAGGAGGTAGGCTGGGCTCCCTGGGGAGTACAGCGCAAATGTAAGCAAAGGGCTGAGAGAGGCTGTGTGCGCACAGTTGTGTTGTGTGGCAGAACCTGGCCTTGCAGCCCTAGAATGGCCTCTGCTCCTCTGTTGGCCAAGTCTCGTGTCTGACCTTCCTGGGCCTCCATGAGGAACTTGGCGTGAATGCTGCATCATGGAAGACAGACCGTAGTTCTAGGCTATGTAAGAATACAGAATAAACAGGCAGAAGCCCCTCTCCCAGGCACACTGTCCACGCCAGGGTTGGACACTACTAAAGCCAGCATCTCCATTTCTTCTCCTCCTCTCCCTCCTCCTCCTATTTTAGTATGAGTAGGGACATTCTTATTCATTTTATCCATTTCCTAGGATTTGACTTTTTTCACTTACCAGTAGGATCTGATGTTTTCATGTAGATATAAGTGTTGACATATAAATCTAACCACTGCATAGTGTGTTATATTTGGATATGCCGTAAATTTTAAACAAATCCCCTACTGATAGACATGTGTCCTCAGCTTCTCACTACTCCAACAGTACAGGAAACATTTCTAGACATATATTGGGACCCATGTATAAATATTTAGGATTAATTGCCAAAGCTAAGTTGCATGCCGTGGATGGACTCGTTGTTTTGAAACTTCTCTAAGGAACACCCAGAAATTTTCTGTGTGTGACAGAGTCAGCACCATGGCAGCTTTGATGTTAAGGTTTATGGTGGCTTGAATGAGAATTGGCCTCTGGGCCCAGAAGTGGTTGGCATGGTCCCCAGTTGGTATGTTTAGGAGGCGTGGCCTTCCTGGAGGAAGTCTGTCATGGAGGTGGGACTTTGAGGTTTTAAAAGCCACCATTCCCAGTTTGCTCTTTGTTTCCTGCTTGTGGTTTGAAAGCTGAGCTCTGTGCTGTGTGAGCTGCCCTGCCTGCTGTCTCCTTTCCTCGCCTTGATGGTGAAGGACTCTGACCGTCTGGAGCCACAAGCCCACATAAGCCCTTTCTTCTGTAAGTTGTCTTGGTCGTGGTGTTTTATCACAGCAATAGGGAAGGAGCGAGGACATGGACTGAGCCTGAAACAACCTCATGTTTTGAGTGCTTATTCCCCAACCAATGACCATTTGGGGAAGGCTGTGGAGGTTTAGGAAGATGGGGTGTAGCAGGCAGAAACAAGCCACTGAGGGTGAGCTTTTGAAAGTTACCATCAGGTCCTCCATTCTGGCCTCCTGGTCCATCATGACATGAATGGCCTCCTTCCCACGTTCCCACTGCCATCTGTGAAGTGGCTCTGCCACGCCTTCCCTGCCACAGTGGGCCAAATTTTTTTGAAAACCATGACCCAAAAGAAATCTTCCGTCCCTTAGGTGGTTTCCTGTTACAAATTGAGGTCATTGCTGCAGAGGGAACAGATACATATACATACTGTCAGCTTTTCCTTGCCTGCAGCTTTCCTAACACTGAAGAAACAAAACATCCTTTGGGGC